TTTTTTTTTTTTTTTTTTGTTTTTGTTAATTTAATCTTAATGTAATTATATTTATACGTTATATGTTATTGTTACAGGATTATGGTGGAGACGGAAATGATTACAGTGGGATTTTTGTACATGATGGCCTGTTCGAAGATGCTCAACAAGCGATTGATTGGGCAAAACAGGTTGCAATTAGATCAGGCTTTTGTTTAGTAGTAGCAACTCATAAATCTCAACGGGATGGTAGAATGGATCGCATTTTGAGATGCGACCGTTATCACAAAAGAGAAGAACGAGATTTCAGTAAAGCGATTCGATTTGACTCAAAGCGGAAAGGTTGTGGGTGTCAGTTCCGAGTTAAGGTTCGACAACATCAAAGGCGTGACGGTTGGGAAGTGAAGGGTTACGGCAAATGGGGATATCACAACCATGAGCTGATAGCATACAAAGTGGGGCATCGGCAGTTAAGCGGCCTAAGTCCAGCTGCGAAACTAGTTGTAAAAGAAATGAGTGATGCTCAAGTGAAGCCCGCTAAAATATTAGCGTCTGTGTTAGAGAAATTCCCCGAAGACCAGCCAAACCGAAGACACATCTACAACGTCAGACAGAAATTGAGGTTTGAACGGTCAGAGGGAAGGAACCCTATACAGCAGCTTCTGCACCAGGCACAAGCACGTGGTTACCTTTACTGGTTTGAATCTGACGAAGACACATCGGAGGTAACTCATTTGTTCCTTGTCCATCCTGATTGTGCTGATATGATTTCGTCTTGGCCATCTGTGATTTTGATCGATTCAACGTACAAGACAAACAAGTACAAGTTCCCACTGGTTGAGATGGTTGGGATGGCTCCAACGAACCAGAACTTTCTGATTGGTTATGCAGTCATGAAGGATGAGACGGCTGCGAGTTACCGTTGGGTGTTGGAAAAGTTGAGAAACTACATCGGCCCAAATGTACAGCCATCGGCCATCGTAAGTGATTGTGAGGGAGGTCTTTTTGCCCCTATAGCGGAGCTGTTTCCGGAGTCGAGCCATTTACTGTGCACATGGCACATCAACAACTGCGTGAAAGTCAAAGCCTACAATCTTTTCAACAAGAATTTAGTAACAGCAGAGACATTGGTAAATGGTAAGTGGCGGAAGATCATGCAAGCTACCACAGAGGCAGAGTACGATCGAGCCTTGGAAAACTTCAAGGATGCGTACAAGTGGTGCCCGCCAATCGTAGACTATGTGATGCATCAGTGGGTACCTCAGAGGGAAAAGTTTGTCAAATATTGGACGAACCAAGTTCTTCATTTTGGGAACACTACGACATGCAGAGTCGAGAGCGCTCATAGAGCTTTGAAGGACTGGATTGATTCTTCCACGGCTGCTCTGGATACACTGTTCGAGAGAATAAACAAGGCTATTGATACTCAGAGGAACGGCATCAAGAACTATCTTGAGGACTCCAGACGACGACATGGCATGTTGTATGGCCATTTCATATTTAAGATTCTCCACGGTCGTGTGTCACACCACTGTCTGGGCCCCGAGCTCTCCATTGAGTAGATCGTACTCCTCACGACGTCAATACTCTTCCCCGCACCAGGTCTAAATTGCGATGCCTAACTCCAAGTAAATAACGAAACATAATAACGAAAACAAATTAAAAAAAGTCGAAAATAAACACAAAAGCAAATAAACAAGTCACGGAAATAAAATTATAAACATAAAAAATATAAATATATACAAGACAATATACATATAAACATAAGAAATATAAACATAAACATATACCAAAAACAAAAAATATAAACTACAAACAAAAAAAAAACAAACATAAACAAAAACAAAAACAAAAAATATTACCAAAAACAAAAAATATAAATACAAAAAAGGACGAAAATAAACACAAAAGCAAATAAACAAGTAACGGAAATAAAATTATAAACATAAAAAATAAAAATATAAACAACACAATATAAATAAAAACATAAAAAATATAAATATAAACATAAAAAAATATAAATATGAACAAAACAATATACCAAAAACAAAATATATAACCAAAAACAAAAAATATAAACAACAAACTAAAAAATGAAAAACATAAACAAAAACAAAAAATCAAAAATGCAAAGAAAAAACCAAAAACAAAAAACTAACAAAACTTAAAAAATTTAAAATTGCAAAAACTTAAAAAAAGAAGAACATCAAAATTTTAAAGAAAATTTATAAAAAAAAAAGGGAACTTATAATTTTTTTACATACAAAAATATAATTCAAAAAAAAAAAAAAATACATAGGAACATAAAATTAAAAATTAAAACCAGATACAATTTTTTTTTTTTTTTTTTAAAAAAAAATAGAACATAAAATTAAAACAAATAAAAAAACAAAATTTAAAAAAAAAAAGATAAAAAAAAAAAGGGAACATACAATTTAAAAAAAAGAAAAACAAATTTTTTTAAAAAAAAAAAAAAAAATTCGAAAATAAAATTTAAAATTAAAAAAAAACAAAAAAAAAATTTAAAAAAAAAAAAAGAAGGAGGCGCCTAGGCAAGACGCCCGTACGGTGGTGGCGGCGCCTAGCCCAGACGCCACTACCACGGCCGTGGCGCCTAGCCTCTGCGCCGCCGCCGTGGTAGTGGCGTCTGGGCTAGGCGCCGCCACCACCGTATGGGCGTCTTGCCTAGGCGCTTCCTCCGTGGTGGTGGCGTCTCGCCTTGGCGCCCCACCGTCGCCGGAGGTTTTTTTTTTAAAAAAAAAATTACAAAAATTAAAAAAATTACCTTCTGGCCGGCAAACCGCCTTCCGCCCACCGCCGGTGCCGCCACTTCCTTGCCGGGCCGCCTCGACATAGCTCTGGAAATAATTTAGAGAGAGAAAGTGGAAGTAGAGAGTAGAGAGAGAAATTGTGTGTTTTTTAGTATGAGGGCAAAAGTGTCATTTCACTCTTATTTTGTGGGCTTTATGTAGGAATTTGCGGGCGATGTTTAACAGTTCACAGTCGTTAACCCCAACCCTTACGTCAACCCTCCGACAGCCTTCCCCCGGAACGCCAGTCAACCCAACATCTTCCCTAGCGCCGGCCGACCCATCCTCCTCCACCGCTTAGGCTGATCCACCACCCCTCTTTATTTCCCACCGCGACCACCCACATCTCTCTAAATCCTAATTCCCGACAGCCCTCCCCCCTCCCTTCCACCACCACCAAATGGATCGGATGTTGTTATGCCTTCTTTGATCTTTTCTTTTGATTGAATGCATAGCCTCCTGCGCATATTAATAGCAACAATAGAACGGAAAATCCGATCCATTTGGTGGTGCTGAAAGGGAGGGGGAAGGCTACAGTGGTTAGGGTTTAGAGAAAGATGGGTGGTCGCGACAGGGGTAAGGGGGGTTGGGTCGGCCGGCGCGGGGGGAAGAGGCTGGGTTGGCAGGTGCGAGGGAGTGGTCTGGTCAGTCGGCGCTCCGGGAAAAGGCTACCGGGGGGTTGGTGTGGGGGGTTGGGGTGGGTTAGTTATTTTCTTAATTTTTTTTTTTTGGGTTTAAGTTTTATTATTTTTTAAAAAATATTTTTCACCAATCACAAAAGTGACACGTAGACTTTAACCTATCAAAACTGGTTACCAACAGGTTAAGGACCAATAGAAGAAAATGTCCTATAAAGGTGGGATTATTAGATAATAATCAAAAGGTGAGATTATTAATAGCCAACCAATCAAAGGTGGGATTATTAGAATCAATTTTTCCTATTTTATTTCATTCATCCAATCAAATTTCTCTCATTTAAAATCTCTCACAACACTTTTTATTTTCATCACTATTTTATTTAAATTATTATATAAAACATTTAACATTTTTTTAATTTTTATTTTAGCAACTTGAGAATAAATTTTTCATGGCACAAAGATAATCATAGAGTACCAGTCACCAAAAAAAAAAAGGTACCATACTACCATTGTCCAATATTGCATGTGTAAAATTAAGTTATTTTTTTCATGCTTTGTGTTGGCTAAGTGCCTAAGTGTTAGCATACTATTTTGCTTGTTTTGTTAGCATCTCATTTTGCCAAAACTCTTCTGATGATGCTAGATTTGTAATTTGGACCCTTGTTTAAAGGGTTTTAATTTATCTTCCTTTTTATGTTAAAAAAAAGGTGCCTAAGTGTTAGAATCCGACTCCTTTTGATGTATTAAATGTCCTTTCAATGCTTTCCTAGAGTTTACTTATGATTTCTAGGTCCTAGATCCCATTATTGTGTTATTGTCAGTTCAATGTTTACTAGAGATTCTTTATGTAAACCATTTAAAGCTCTTTAGAGGGCGAATGATTAATGAAATCCAAAAGCCTTCTACCAAGTGTTGTTAAACCTTTATAGATATTGTGTCTTACTTGCATAATAGCTCCCCTCCACACCAACTTGATGCTATAAGAACTTGTGGTTCGGACCTGCTTGTGCGGCTGCACAAGCCTCGACCACCCGCACTCCGTCGCCAAAAGACGTGAGTGCTCTCGAGATTTAATTGCCCGCTTGTATTGCTTTGTTTTCACAAGCCCCACTTCCACACTTAGGCTAGCGTTCTTGCCGCCAAAAGGCTAAAGCGCGCTGCATATTCTGGTGTTCAAAATCCCGGACCGTGACACAAAGCCTGACCTACAAGTTACTTGAAGTATCACAATTTAGGGTAGACCAAGCATGACGTCATTTCACGTGCCTATCGTGTTAGATTGTGTCGTATATTCAGTCTTATCTTATTTATCCAAAATTAAAGGGCCTTAGAATGTTTATGTGCTCAAATAGTTATAAGATTATTTCTTAATTTACCTGTTATGTTGTTAAATAAAAGTAGAATATAAGAATCTCTATAAAATAAATTTATTACGTTATATTAATAGGAATAATTAATATGATTCCAATGATACCAACTCTTAAGTTTTAGGAAGAAATCTAATACTCTGTGATAAGATTAAACTAACTGTAACTAATAGAAAACAAACATAAATTGAATACGAAATCTCTCAACTGCACATGCACCTTAAATTTTAGTTACTTCCTTTTATTTTGAAGATTATATCACATAAATCCTTGACAAAAGTATCAAATTATAAAATCATCAAAAATAGCAGAGTCCCCATTTTCACAAGCAAAGCCCAATAAGAAGTTTCAAAAAACTTCAAAATTATAAAATCAGCAAAATACATTAAAATTGCAGTATTTTCTAAAGAAAAAAAATGAGAACACATTGGAAAAAAAAAGAAGAAAAAAAAAAACCGGAAAAGATCGCATTAAGGCTTCTTGTCGTTCAAGTTTGAAGCTTCGAAATTCTCTCTCATCCCTTTCCCCACTTCCAACCAAAACACTCAAGAACCCACCTTTAATCTGTCCTTTCAATTTCACCCAGGTATTTCGCTCCTTTTTTTTTTTTTATTTTTTATTTTTTTTTTAATTTTATTTTAAATCAATTTTTTTATAATAATAAAAAAACAAAAACCCTTTTCCCTTTAATTTTTTTTTTTTTTTTTTTTTTTAATTTTTTTTTTGATGATTCTGGTTGTTTTTATTTCTAAATTTTAATTTTTGCCTTGTTGATTGAAGGTTTTGGTTGTTTTTTATCTATGCTTTGAATTTTGAAATACGAAGTATAGACCTAAAATTCTCTTGATTGCCGTTATTCATTTTTGGATTGTGATTGTTTTGTTGATTCAATTAGGTTTTTCTTTTCAGGTTCATGAATTGTATCATCATTTGCGTTATGCAGAAATTGGAGTAGTCAATTTTAAAATCCAATGATAATTTTACTCTTGGTTTGGAAATATGGTTTAGTTTGAGCACTTGGGTTATGATTAATTTTGGGTTTGAGTGAAGTTGGCATTTGCATTGTTATAGTTTGTCATTTGATCGGAATTTTAGCAAGTTTTTGATTGATGGGTATTCGTTAAAAGATGGATTCTTTTTAGTTTGATGTTGGGTTGATGGGTCCTGAAGTAGATATGAGTGGGAAATTCGATACTCCGATGGAGGTTTCGCCGGTCAGTATGAAGGATAATAGTACTGTTAAGTTGTCTGAGGAGAAGTTGGTTGTTTGTACTAGTAACTGTGAGGATCACGGGTTCGTTGATGCTCCTGTTGCTAAAACCCCGGAAGAGAACCCGATTACGACGTGTGCTAGTAGCTATGAGGATAGTGGTTTTCACATGGATGTTTCTGGGGTTGACTGTGATCAAGGTATGGCTTCTAATGGGAATAATGTGGATGTGGAGGTTGATATTGTGGAGAATGTGGAATCCGATGAGGAAATGGTGTCCGAGAGGGAATCTTTGGATGCAACAGAGAACTCGAGCTCATTCGGGTGTACAGATTCTGAGACTGGAACTGCTGGGGCATCAAATGATGTTGAAGTTGAGTCTGAAGTGCGGAATGATAATTCATCATTGATGGAATTCGATGGATTTAATGATCTGTTTAAAACCAGGTATAGCTCTTGCGTGATGACATATATGAAATTTTATGAGAAACAAGCGAAGTTGGAGGAGATAGAAAATCTCTTGATGTTTTGTTGCTTAATATCTCCTCTCTGCCTATTTATTAATCTGTTTTTATTTTGCGAGTATGTAAACATGAAATACTTGGTAAGTGGTCTTTTTTCTTCTTCTATATGTCCTTGCATTGATTATCAATATGACACTTTTTTGTGATGAAGTGTAAATAAATTTAATATTTCTGCCTGGATAGTCATTTTGAGATTCACCATTGCATATGTTGGGATCTAATTGACATTGTAGAGTCGATCTGGTCATTCAAGAACAAAAGAGTTATGTTTTGTTGGATCTTTTTGGTTTCTTACACAGATCACCATCTCCGAGCACGTTTCCTGCAGTCCTTCTGACTTAGCATGTGATGATTGTCTAACTCTTTCATCTTAGGACTATATCCATTTGATACCCCTTTTATATGAGGCTTACGCAGATTGCGATTAAGTGGCTGTCTTATATTAGGACTTGTAGCTCTGATCCTTCCCCTACCTTGCTGTATCCATGTTGTACCAGTCTCATTCTCGTGTAGGACATGGGTGTGACCCTTTATTTAGCAGGACACCTTGGGAAAACTAGACATGATAATTTTCAGAAACCATGTTCGAGTCCGACACTTTTGGTGAGCAGTATCATAGAAAGATGTGATGGACCTTATGGGTTAACATAAGGGAATGGAAGTTGCTGTGCTACGGACCAAATCATTTTGCTATTTATCTCTTTATCACTAATTTAGACTGGCTGAAGCAGGGCATTAATTTGCGGGCGTATCACCACATCACGACCGCATTGTAAAGTTTTTGACTTTGGCAAGACTGTACTATTAGGCCCCGGCAGCCGGAGTCACAGACTACATTTCCTGTGAAAGTGGCTTTATGACCATAATTGCAAATCAATTACATCCGAGATTTAAATTCCTGAGATCACGTGAATCTCTATTTGGCAAGATTTTGCGGAGTAATTTTTGAGCGTATGTGCTGGAAATATTCATTTACCATACATAGCTCCTTGGGAGAGGGCTGGGTTGATCCTTCTTGCAACTCATCTCAAGCTTGGGATAAGACAAGGGGTGAGCCACTCTATTGTCTTTCAGTTAATCTTACTTATCCTAGAAAGTGGCTCTGACTTCTGAGACCTTAGTTTCCTCTGGTTCTTAGGGTTTTGAAGCTTAATCCACACCTGTCTCGCTAATAAGGACGCTGATGCTCAAAAGTCCCTTTCTCTCAATTTCACAGCTTATGTTGATTAATATGAACTGTTTGTCAGATCTGGGAAGAACTTGTGTTTTTAACTAGAATTTGCTCTGAATTCAATGACCTGTTACCAATCTGCTACTTATCTTTGATAATCTTCATGATATGAAGGGTCCTCTGCCTTTTTTTTTTCCCCTTTCTCTCTTCCTTCCTTCCTTCATTTCTTTCTTTCTGTTTAACATTTTTTTAAAGAAGTTTATTATGTTGATGACTGATCATATCTATTGGCCCCAATATGTACTAGATTTTTATTGTATCTCCATGTGTTAGGATGTTATGGTGTAATTCTTGTTCTTCACATGCTCAGGAAGAAGAAATTAACAGCTCAGTGGAGAAAGTTTGTGCGCCCACTGATGTGGCGGTGTAAATGGGTTGAGCTACAGATTAGGGAACTACGCTCCCAAGCTTCCAAGTATGACCGTGAGCTTGCAGAATGTGCTAAAACAAAGCAGTGTGAGTTGGAGAAATATGCTACTGAAGACCTTGCAGTGAAGTCAGCTCCTTCTGTTTGCCAGAATCGGCCAGTAAGGGTTATGAAGAGGAAGAAACGGAAAAGAGTTGAAGAAACAACAGACTTGGCTGCCTACTCATCATGTCATAGCTTGTTCTCATATTTTGGTATAGCTATATTTTTTAAATATTAATATGGTTTTTAGGGAAGGTAAGGATGGCCTCTAACCCCATCAGTAACTTACATCATGAGGTTGAGTTACATGGGATTTTAGACCCCTTACTGAAACTCATTTTTCGCTCCTGACTCTTATACAAAATTTCTTTTGCAGTAAATAAGAGGCGTTCTGGTGATTCAGCTTATTTGGATGATGATCATGGCAATACTGGTGAGTATAAAACTTGTGTTAATAAATTGTGGCTTAGATGAGTATGGTTCTGCTCTCTATACAAACTTGTGATATATGTGGAATCTTTTGTTCAGAATGATCCATGGTGTTGTGTTAGACTTGTATGTTAATCATTTATCAGTGATGAAAAGCATCATGTCTTTCCCTCTTTGAAGCTTCATAGACCTTTCTGTGAGGTGTTTAATTTGGATGAAAATATAAGTTTTTGGATTTTTTGTTCTTTATGAAGCATCCTGTGAAGTAAAATCCAAAGCTTTTTTTAATTAGAAAACTGCTTCCCATTGTGACTTTTTGGCGTTCTCGCTTTGGCCCATGATTTCTTGCACTTCTACCCCATTGTGACTTTTTGGTGTTCTCGCTTTGGCCCATGATTTCTTGCACTTCTACCCCATTGTGACTTTTTGGTGTTCTCGCTTTGGCCCATGATTTCTTGCACTTCTATAATCTTATCTTGATCTTTGGATGGAAGTTTTTTGTTGGGATTGAAATATGGAATTTTAAAGTGACCTTTTCTGCCATATATATATTTTTTTTAAAAATAATGTTTCATATTTCTTCTTAAGATGGGCTGCTTGTCCTTTCATCTTTGCCATGCTACTCTTCTTTTCCAGATAAATGTGATCTTTTGCTATTTTTTACTACTAATTACTCATACATTTCATTAATTAACTTCATCCTGTCTTCCCAAACTCTTGTGACTTGTGAATTAAACTGGCTTTGGTTATTCTTTGTATGTTCTCTGCAGAAAAGACTACTTCTGGCGTTGGTGAATTTGGCATTAATGGTGAATGGTCATTCCTTGATTTCAAGGATAGTGATTCCTTTGAAAATATATTACGGAATATTGAAGTGGCTCAAATGCATGTCCGCCAGCTGAGATCAAGAATTGATAAGGTGGTCAGGGAAACTGCTGAAATTTCAAGCTTTGCTCCTGGTAAAGCATTGGTAAATTCTGGCCCTAGTTCAATTTTGGCCCAAGTAGATGGTGAAAATTTTCAGATAGGATCTCTGCCTACTACTACTCGGCAGACATTGGAAAATAAGATGATCATGCCTGAAAATGTAGTCTCTGGCCATAGGGAAGTAAACCCGGCTAACATGATTGCAACTGCTGACCAGCAGCAATTTGGGAGGAAATGTGGCAAGGTTAGTCATATACTCATCTTTATCATGAATATTCGTTATGGTCATGTTTGCATGGATATCAGGAAAATGTTAGTGCCAAGATTGCAAATTATAATTTAGCAACTGGGAAGTTCTTAAACTATTTGCATGACAGTAGGACTTGACAAGCTGTTTATAATGATAGTCTTCTCTCATGCTGATTAACTTTTATGTAATGTTTGTCTGTAGATTGATAAGAAGATTCTTGTCGCTAATCAACCAGTGAAGAAAGAGTTTAATCATACTGAAGTTGTTGGGACTCGACCTACTGCAGAACTTCATTCGGGAACTGAAGTGAAACCAGAGAATGTTGAACATGTCCCAGATCCCAACTCTCCCAGCAAAATGACAGTAAGTCAAGAGCAACTGGCTGTAAAAGTACGGTCCAAGTTGACTACCCCCAAGAACAAAAAAAAGCGTGGGAGACGCAAGGCTCGAACTGGTAGGTGGAGCCGAAAATCATCTGGTTAATGATAAGTAAATAATAGGCAATTGCTATTTGATTTTATATTATAGTAGTTGGTTAGTGTTCTACTTTTAGATATAACCTGAAAGAAAGACCTGGAGATGAAGGATAGAAAGTGCGGGCGGTATAAGAAGGCTGAATCTATCGCTTTTCCTTGATCCAGGCATTTGTACATGCTTTTTGAATCTCTTCAAATACCAAATACCTCCTCCATGTTAAATTAAGTAAATTCTTTTTTACAGGCATGATGGGTACGGTGTTCCCCTCTCTCTCTCTCTCTCGCGATAAAATATTGCTGTTTATTCTAATGCAGGGTAATATTATACCGAAAAAGTTGATGTAATTATCTTATAAATCTAGAAACTTAAAAGTTAATTGTATTACTTGAAACTTAAAGTTAATTGTATTTCTTAAGTGCTCTAACATAGTGGTAAAAATTTGCACTTGGGTATTTGACCTATACCTCTTTTTACTTACAACACTTCTCATTTTACGCATGATAATGCATTATTTTAATCACTAATATTTTAAAGTAAAAACATAGAAATTTGATACTTGTATTATATATTGAGACGAATATTGCAATATCCCACATAAACATATTCTTCATTAATTGTGAAATTATTAAAACTAGTCCGAGCATGTGTAGTGCGTATTCAGAGTGTTGCAAGTGAAAAAACGGAGCAACTATATCTTAATACTCCGTAGAATTTGTTAAGTGTTAACTAAAACATCTATTGTTATGAAGTTGGTTGAATAAAGTAATATGAAAGGCAGTTTTTGATCAAATTTCCCAAATACATGAGTGTACAAACAGATGTTTTTATTAATGCTAGAAAGGTAGATATATACATGAACTACTGCTCAGTTCACAAGTGGACAAGAAAAACAATCAACCTAGGTGTTTTGTTGCCCTCTTTGTTCATTTCGGCGAACCATTCTCCTGTGTAACACATTCCTTGATACCTGGGCTGAGATGATAGCCAAAAATGTAGCAGTCGGAACAAAGAGGACATCAGGTACTACTTTGATGATCTTAAGTGCCGGGACTCTCTCTCCGGCTTTCTTTGCTACCATGGCAGCTGGTGGCGTCACCAAACCTGTTATTAGTGTCATTTTTTGTGGCTTGTTGAGGCTTACCGTTCTGCTTATAAAGTCTACAAAGATTTGCTTCTTCTTTTCTGCATTATCACCAGCAGCTGTCCATTCATCGTAGCATTTCTGCTTTTGAAGTTTTTGTTAATATCATGGATGACGTGGTATAAACTATCTACGGAGTAACAATATGAGATGAGAATCATGAGAATAGCGTTCATTTACCTTTATCTCCTGGTTAGAGGGTACATCATAATGTTTACCAGGCAATGCCGAGTTGAAAGTGCTGTTGAGATCATTAAGGGACAGGTTAATCATCTTATATAGTAGTAATGAACAATTTAATTTAATCCTCTGTTTGGAAATTCACATTTCAAAAGCTTGTTTGATATAAAAGGTAGGCTTTGGTACGTACTTGTATATATCAAGAAATGCTATGTGGAATTGTGAAAATTCACTGGTTTCCTTCGTAATAAAACTGTTGTAGAGTGATCCCGTAATCAAGTTCACCATCTGTGTTGTTGGTGACCCTAACATTTATCATAGATTTAAAGCAAGTACAAAATCAGAATAGAAAGAGATTAAACCACATAATAGAATTGATATGCTTTACTGAGGAAAAATAATTGATTGCATGAACATTCCGATGAAAATCAGGGTAGCGTGGGAAGGAGCAGACCTTTTCCCAATAAGAAGCTAGTAGCAAGACCCATTTTTGCGCTAAATTGTACAAACTTGAGGAGATGACGATAATAAGAAATCCCTAAACAAAGATAAAGAAGACATGGGAGGGATAGATTAATATAAAAGGGAAACTTTTATGGAGAAAATGGTATGTTACACTTACGGGTTTAGTTTAAGAAAGGAATCCCATTCCCATCTTTTAGTTCTAGTTATCTGATTCCTGGCCTTTGGCTTGAAGGCAGGATCAAGGAAAGAATTTTTCAAGTGTCTTTTGACATCTTACCTCAGGTTATTCCTATCTCAAAGAAAGGATTTTACAGAAAGTGAGACCAAAGCAAACTATTGTTCCAATACCGCAAAAAAAGAGACAGAACACTTGTATTACAACATCAAGAGAAAAGAAGATAGTAATGCGAGTTATCAGTAAGATTTGAATGCATATGCAGAACTTCAGAAAGCATAACATACCAGCTAATAAGTTGTGATGTCCAGTTTTCCTCCATTCCACACTGCAACTTTCTTGCTAAGGTAAGCAAAAATCATAATATTAACTTCAAAAGATGGTATCCAGCGTAAGGGTATGCAGATTACAAGCAAGCATGTATGCATAATCACAATTAGACAAACTCACTTCTGTCAATAATGAAATGGTTATTGGTTGTAAAAGCGATGATCAGCTCCACTTATACTTCACCACCTTCATTCACCACTATAATCGGTCTAGCCATCTAACTACATCTGTTCTTTTAAAATCTTAGATCATAGAGAGGACATTACCAGAAATCAAGTGTGTAAAGAACTAATGAACAGTTTACTGACCAAACATTATCAAGTTTGCAACGTTACTTCAGCAATACACGATTCCAACATGTTCTCGTCATCTATCTTCTTCATGTGCATTTGAAGCTGCTTTAATACTGGAAGTATATTCTCCTGATGAGGGTGCATTATGCTCCCTGACATAAACTCACAAACCATGCCATCAGCTTCAATAGCACTGCAACCAGCTTCCTTTTTTACACCAATTGTTCTCATATACCCTTTTATTTCCCGCATTTCTATCCATTTTCTTTCCATGGCATACAAGTTCCTTAGTAAAACATAGTTCCCAGAACTTAATGAGTTCTTTTCAACTGCTCGTTTCAAAACTCTCACTGCACTAGGCAAATCTTTCCAGTTCACACAACCAGAAAGGAAGGAACTAATGACTATCTCATTCGCCTCATATGGCATGAATTCTAACAATTTCTCAGCTTCATCCAAACTACCTATCCTACACAAAAGATCTATCACACAGCCATAGTGCTCAATTGTAGGGGCTAGTCCGAAGCTCTCCATTGCATTGAGCCACTTCTTTCCCTCCTCAACCAAACCACTATGGCTGCAAGCTGACAAAACACCAATCATTGTTATTGCATTTGGTGTGTAACCTCTATATATCATGTTCTCAAACTCATTTACTGCTTCCCTTCCCTTGCCATTGACTGCAAGCCCATTTATAATAGCATTCCAACAAGAAGTTGCCTTCTCAGGAATCTCTTCAAAAACACGTCTGGCTTTGTCTATATCTCCACATTTTGCATACATATCTATCAGTGAAGTGCATATCTTGATAGATTTGTCAAGCCTTTTCCTTTTCACATATTGATGAACCCAGCATCCGAAATCTAATGCACCCAATTCAGCTACTGCCGGAAGAATGCTGATGATAGTGACTTCATCAGCTTCAAGCACTGCATTCAACTGCAATTCACGGAACAACTTCACAGCTTCGCGTGGTTGTTTGTTCCTGCAATAACCACTAATCATCGCGTTCCAAGAAACAAGACTCTTCCTAGGCATAGAGTCAAAAAACAACCTAGCCGACTCAATGTCATCATTTTCACAAAACCCAGAAATCATACTCGTCCACGAGATCACATTCCTTTCCGGCATTGCATTAAACAAACTCCGAGCCAAATTCATGTCACCGACCTTGACAAATGCACCAATTATCGCGTTATAACCTGATGCATCCTTCCCAGGCATCTCATCAAAATATTTCCAAGCATTGTCAATATCCTCTACCCTTGCAAACCCACAAACCATAGCAGTCCAAGACACAACATTTCTCACAGACATTTCATCAAACACCTTCCTTGCAGAAACCATATCACACATTTTCCCATACATATCAACCATAGACGTCGAAACAAACAAATCCAATCCACACCCAGTTCTAATTACATGATTATGAAGCTGTTGACCTTCCCAATTGTACAAATTCAACCCACAAGATTTCGTCAAAAACAAATATGTATAATTATCAGGAACAAATTGCGTCGTTCTCCTCAAATCTCTAAAAAGAATCAAAGCATCAGTAACTTGATGATTATCAATATGGGATTTAATCATGACATTACAAAGAAAAGAATCGTTTCTTTGAGGAATTTGATCGAACACTTGGCGTGCATGTCGAATGCCGGGACTTGCTGATGAAGGTGAAGAACAGGCAGCTATGAATTTGGTGAGTATACTTAGATTAGAATCAAGGGTATTGCGGAGAATGAAAGCATGGATTTGAAGGAGTGATCGAGCATTCTGCCATTGTTGGAGGAAAGAGAAACATTTTCTTTCTTTGGGACTCCATAACCCAGAAACTGAGTTCATCACTCTCTTTAACTGCTTTAAGCGGGAAAGTTTTGAACCTTTGTGTATGAGTTGATACTTATAAAATTGTTTTTGAAAAAATAAAATAAAGAAGTGGTCATTTCTGTTGAGAAACATGATTGAATTGAACTTCACATGTGGTAATTAAAGTCAATGAAGACTTTACTAAGTACAATAATTTGTATAAAGTACAATAATGTATATTATTATATTCAATTATTTTGGCTATATAAATGAAAGTTCACGTATTGTGAACTCAAGTTGAAAAACAAGAAAAGAGTTTTCCTACCATTCTACTACTTACTTCCTATCTTCATCCCTTCACTGATAAATATCTTACCATCAGTAAAATATTTTTAACACGTTATCAGCACGAGCTTTCAGTCAGGTATATTTATACCTACTTCTAAAAATTTATAACAAATAATACTATCTACTTCTAAATGTTTCGAGGAGTATGCTCTATAGTTGCCCATATTTGGGATCCTCTATACCAGAAACTCAAACATTTGTTGTATTATATATACCTCAAAAACAACGGTGAAAGTTCTCTTTTGTTTATTCATGTTGATATTTCTTTGTTTGATCCATGTTGATATTACATACTCATTTTACGTAAATTTTTATCTTAGTTATTATAATTGCTAAGTAGTAGCTTTGCATGCATATTATTATTAACTAGATTAACAAAAAGATGCAGCCTTTTTATACTTATTATTTTTCTTACTTTTACATACTTTTTGTGTTTCTTTCCGTTTTCGAACCCATGATCTTTTATAAATATTAGGGCTCTCGGACCACTATGGCTTGCATTCCCAGTGTGATAACCTTTTACAATTATAAATATATATATTTAGACCATAATTTTTGTCAGTATATTAGATTGTTATATGATATTTTTACAGTTGTACAGAACAGTAACGGATAAACCTACCTCTATAAAAGACGGATTTTCCCCCCAATTTCACCACAAATCCTTTATCTCTTCCCACTTTTTATCCAAAAATCACCTAATTTTTTTTTTCACCCCCTTCTTCTCCGATATGTTCCCCGACGACGGCAACCAAAACACCCACAACTTCACTTTTGAGGAAGATTTAATGAAGATAAAACAATATTTCCTTCTAATTACGGCGCTTGTAATTTTATTAGTAGCAATATTAATTTTTGTCATTATGTATAAGTAAAACTCACTTATTTTGTCGTTTTAGTATATTAAAAGCTTGTTTTTGTTTTATTATGTATGTTTGTTGTTATTAATCATCATTGTATAATATTACCGTTATCATTATAATTATTGTTACTACTGTCATTGTTGTCGTTTTGCTGTTTTTTTTTTTGCAACTAACATGATTAATTTTTGTCTAATCATATAATTACTCACAATAATAAATCAAGGGGGAGAAAAGACTATATTACTTATGGTTTATTATTATTAAATTTAATTATCACGTGTCTTATTAACTTAAATATAAATATGGAAGAACTAAACATGTGAGTTGTACATATAATTTGTTATTATAATCTAATTATCACGAAATTTGTTGTAGCTAAAATGGGAGACCTTATGAAAAGACAGTTCAGCATCTTAGATTTATCTGGAAAGAAATTTCTGGAATGGAAAGTGGACGCAATGATGAATTTGAAAGCTCAAGGCTTGGAGCACACTGTTAAAGAAAATAAAAGTCCCCCTGGTCAAACAACTGATACTACCACTTCTGCAATGACGGTTGAAAAACCCATTACCGAACAAGAAAAGGCAAAAGTCTTAGTGTTACTAAGGCATCATTTACATGAAGGCCTTAAAACTGAGTACATGATGGTTGAAGATCCCAAAGAATTATGGGATTGCCTTAATGAAAGATTTGGACACCACAAAAGGGTGCTCCTTCCTAAGGCATTATTTGACTGGACAAATTTACGGTTCCAGGATTTCAAATCTGTAATAGATTACAATTCAACCATACATGAGATAGTATCTATATTGAGATACTGTGATCATCCAGTCACCGATGAACAAATGATTGAAAAAAACACTCACTACCTTTCATGCAAGCAACATACTGTTGCAAGAACAATATCGTGAAAGAGGTTTTAAGAAGTTTAATGAATTAATGAGTGTATTGCTTGTTGCGGAACAAAATAGCGATCTTTTGTTGAAAAATCATAATCTCAGACCAACTGGGTCTTTGGCCACTCATCATGAGGCAAATGCAACAAATTCCTATCCACCCGAGTCAAATGCTACAAGAAGAGGTGGACGTGGAAATTACAATGGCCGTGGAAGAGGTCGTGGAAATTATCGCGGACGCGGCCGTGGTCGTGGTAGAAATAATTTTCAAAGAAACAGTAATTTCAAAAATTTTGAAAAACAGAAGGGACAGTTATCTGGAAGCCACAAACAAACTCCTTCGAAAGGAAAAGACACATGTTACAGATGTGGCATGACAGGACATTGGGGACGTACTTGTCGAACGGCCAAACATTTGGTAGACCTTTACCAGGCTTCTGTAAAAGGCAAAGAGAAAAATGCAGAAGCAAATTATGTTAATGAGGAAAATGCTCCTTGTCCCAGCCTTGATGTGTCTGATTATTTCATGGATATACTGAAATTGGAAATGATTTCATTCTCGGAGAAAACAACAATACTTAGGTTTCTCATCTACTAATGTAACATATGCTATGTTTTAATGTATTTTCTTAGTTCCCTGTATTTTAATGTACTTTTAATCTCTATCATCAATAAAAGTTTGTATGATATTATTCTAAACTAATCTCAAATTTATTTTATGAAGATATGGATCTACCTGAAGTTAGTTCCGAATATCAATGCCTTTTGGACAGGGGAACAACGCACACTATCTTAAAAGATAGAAATTATTTTTCACAACTAAAGTTGTTTCAAGCAAATGTAAACACCATTTCCGGGTCAGCAAAATTAATTGAAGGATCTGGAAAGGCTTGTATAATGCTTCCAAATGGAACAAAATTAATAATCAATAATTCTTTATATTTGAGTAAATCTCGAAGAAATCTCATAAGCTTTAAAGATGTACGCCAAAATGGCTATCATCTAGAAACAATGACAACAGATCAAAAAGAGTATGTATGCCTCACGGCAGAAAAACATGGCAAGAAACATATATATGAGAAATTGCCAGCATATTCTTCGGGGTTATATCGTATAAACATACGACCCGTGGAAATCAATATGGTATCTAACCAGAAGTTAGATGACAAACATTTGATTATTTTATGGCATGATCGTTTGGGACATCCAGCAACTGGGATGATGCAAAGAATAGTAGCACATTCAGTTGGACATTCAATAAGAAATGTCAAAATTCCCCGATCAGATGAATTAACATGCTCTGCATGTTCACTTGGCAAATTAATAATAAGGCCATCTATGAACAAAATTGCTACTGAATCTCCAAAATTCTTGGAAAGAATTCAGGGAGATATATGTGGGCCAATTAATCCAGCATGTGGACCATTTCGATATTTCATGGTTTTAATTGATGGCTCTACACGATGGTCACATGTTAGTCTACTTTCAAGTAGAAATGTTGCCTTTGCAAAATTACTTGCCCAAATCATCAAATTAAGAGCACAATTCCCAGATCATACAATAAAGAAAATAAGACTTGACAATGCTGGGGAATTTACATCCCAAACATTTAATGATTATTGTATGTCAATTGGAATTGATGTTGAACACCCAGTAGCTCATGTTCATACACAAAATGGTCTAGCTGAATCACTAATTAAGAGATTACAATTGATTGCAAGACCATTATTAATGAGGTCAAGATTGCCATCATCTGCTTGGGGACATGCTATAATACATGCAGCAGCGCTAATTAGATTGAGACCTACAGCTTATCATAAATTCTCATCACTACAACTTGTTTGTGGTCGAGAACCAAGTATCTCACATCTAAAAATCTTTGGTTGTGCTGTATATGTTCCCATTGCTCCACCCCAACGAACAAAAATGGGTCCACAAAGAAGGCTGGGAATTTATGTCGGGTTTGAATCCCCCTCTATAATTAAATACCTTGAACCATGGACTGGTGACTTATTTACGGCTAGATTTGCGGACTGTCACTTTAATGAAACAGTATTCCCAGCCTTAGGGGGAGAGAAAGTGGACCCACATAAGAAAGAAATTGAACTCATTTGGAATGCAACACAACTGTTGATGTTAGACCCACGAACAAATATGTGTGAACAAGAAGTTAAGAAAATTGTTCATTTACAAAGTGTTGCAAATCAATTGCCTGATGCATTTGTAGACACAAAGAAGGTGACAAAATCACATATACCAGCAGAAAATGCCCCTGCACGTATTGAAATCCCAACTGGTAATAAGGCCATAGAAAATGAATCTTAGGCACGCAGAAAGCGTGGAAGACCACTTGGTTCAAAAGATTCTAAGCCAAGAAAATTGAAAAGATTGGATGTAATAGAAAATGAGACTAATGATGTTCCCCCGTCAGAAGGTCAAGAAAAACCAAATGTGGATGAAAGTAAAGAAAATGATGATAATCCAAAAGGGGACGAACAAGAAGACAACCCTACGGGGAATGAACAAGATGTTCAAAACATCGATAACAATGAAATTTCAATGAATTACGTCTCTACAAAGACTCAGTGGAATAGGAAAGATGTTATCGTTAATGAAACATTTGCAAATTCCATCGTAATCGACATCGTGTCTGATGAAAATGATGTTGAACCAAGAACTGTAGAAGAATGTCGACGTAGGAGTGATTGGCCAAAGTGGAAGGAGGCAATGCTGGCTGAGTTAAAGTCACTTGAAAAACGAGAAGTTTTTGGGAAAATAACCCTTACACCAGCAGGTATAAAACCCGTTGGATACAAATGGGTATTTGTGAGAAAACGTAATGAGAAAAATGAAATAGTTAGATACAAGGCAAGACTTGTAGCCCAAGGATTTTCTCAAATTCCAGGGATTGATTATGAAGAAACATATTCTCCAGTGGTTGATGCAACTACATTAAGATTTCTGGTAAGTTTGACAGTCACAAAAGGACTGCAAATGCGATTAATGGATGTAGTGACTGCGTATTTGTATGGGTCACTCGATACGGACATTTACATGAAATTCCCCGAAGGACTAAGACTACCAGAAAACCACAAGCCTAGACAACTGCTTTCCATAAAACTAAAAAGGTCACTTTATGGATTGAAACAATCTGGAAGGATGTAGTACAACCGTCTGAGTGAATACCTTATGAGAGAAGGATTCAAAAACAACCAAGTTAGTCCCTGTGTTTTCATAAAGCGATCACAATCAGGATTCGCTATCATTGCAGTTTATGTTGATGATTTAAATATCATCGGAACCCCAAATGAACTTGAGAAAACTGCAAAATACTTGATGAAAGAATTTGAGATGAAAGACCTTGGGAAAACTAAATTTTGCCTTGGACTACAAATTGAGCACTTGAGTCATGGCATTTTTTTCCATCAATCAAACTATACAGAAAGAGTTTTGAAACGTTTCTTCATGGACAAAGCAACCCCAACCAACTTCCCAATGGTTGTTCGTTCTTTGAATATGAAAAATGATCCATTTAGATCCCGAGAAGAAAATGAAGAGATTTTTGGTCCAGAAGTACCATACTTAAGTGCAATTGGAGCCTTAATGTACTTAGCTAACAATACTAGACCCGACATAGCTTTCTCTGTGAATTTGTTAGCCAGACACAGCAATGCACCAACATATAGGCATTGGAAGGGAGTTCGACACTTACTCCGGTACCTACGAGGGACACAAGACCTTGGTTTATATTACCAACCAAAACAAGATGCTGCTCTCATTGGGTATGCAGACGCTGGATACTTATCAGATCCTCAAAATGCCAAGTCACAAAATGGATATGTGTTCACTTATGGCGGCACTGCAATATCATGGAAATCAACAAAGCAGACATTGACCGCGACATCATCAAATCATGCAGAGTTGATAGCCCTTCGATCAGGTTTTTATCCCACCGGGTTTTTCCTGACAAGGTTTTTAACGAGGCAGTATACCAAAGCATATAATACTATATCGTTGTACTCTTTTTCCCTAGCTATGGTATTTACCCCATAAGGGTTTTACCTAGCAAGGTTTTTAATGAGGCAACTTGTACCCCATTCCATGTGAACGTTCAAAGGGGGAGTGTTGAGAAACATGATTGAATTGAACTTCACATGTGGTAATTAAAGTCAATGAAGACTTTACTAAGTACAATAATTTGTATAAAGTACAATAATGTATATTATTATATTCAATTATTTTGGCTATATAAATGAAAGTTCACGTATTGTGAACTCAAGTTGAAAAACAAGAAAAGAGTTTTCCTACCATTCTACTACTTACTTCCTATCTTCATCCTTTCACTGATAAATATCTTACCATCAGTAAAATATTTTTAACAATTTCATTATATTCAATTATTTTTCACTACTTTCAGAAATAAAGTATATTATAAAATATTAATATATGACTGAAAAAGTCTTGGCGTATTGACAAAGATTGAGGGCTTGTATATGATATGATAGGTTACAGGTTCGAGTCTCCTTTAATTCTTCCATTTGTAATTTGTAATGTGTTTGTGACTCATTCGCATAAAAAAAAACTACTAATACATAACATATTCTATATTGTATTCATATTTCACAATTTCCGTCTTATATGGCATTACATTCAATCTCCTCCCTGGCCCATTGATGTAATTTTATATCAAAGGTATAATTTGGACACCTTGTTATATTTGCAAGATGTCAACCATAGTTCAAATTACTCTTCAAGGACTTCAACTACTTGTTAGTTACTAGTTTACTACCAACACATATTGTATGTGAGGCTGTAGCGTTTTAGTACAAAGTAGAGCATGCATACAAATCATTTGTTGGTAAGAGAAACTCTATCATTCCTTCAATTCTTTAACTGTTAGTAATTGAATTATTGTAGTATAAGTACAAAAGGGACAAAAAAGTCAACATTAAAGGCTATATATATTATTACGTTGACTTAGATTGAGGGAATGTTTCATCGTTTATTTTAGACTTTGACTTCAACTTCTTATAGTAATATTCATGTCCACTGAATTTACAGTAAATTTTGTAAACATCCCAAAATAATAGTCAAGGAGCTAGCTTAGCTAGCTACTAGCTTGGACAACTTGGACTACTATATAAAGACATGCAATTATATGCATCAATGCATGCATTAATGCATATATTATAATTTTGCAAGCATCACAAAACTCTTAATAGTTCTGATTTCTCCCCTATAGTATGTAATTATCAAATAAAATGAAGGATTTTATAGCAAAGATAGCTAGGAAGAAGGGCGAAAACTCGTCGAGATCATTGTCTCGATATTCAAGGTTATCTTGTGATATTGCTAGGGATGGTGATGCTAGACATGAAATTAGAAGAGGGTATGTGCCGGTTATGGTAGGCTTTAGTGAGGAGCAACAAGAAAGGTTTATGGTGCCTTGTGGGTGGATGAACCATCCTTGTATTGTAGAGTTGCTTCAATTATCTGCTAATGAGTTTGGGTATCAACAACAAGGTGTTATTCATATACCTTATGAACCAAGTCATTTTAGAGTTATTATGGAGAATATATCATCTTCGAAAAAGTAAGTGACCATATAATCTATAATGGATCGCAATATGAGTTGGGTAGTTTAATTCGTGTAAAAATCATTAGATATAAATTTAATTAGCGTTTATAAAGGGGATTAGACGACTTTTAGCGCATTTATCGCTTTTACGAGTTTTTTTATAATTGACTCGTTTGACTAGTTGTATAGTTTTTGTGAATTATAATATATAGGAATGACACTTCTAGTGTTAGTTGTTCCTTCGTCATTAATTATCTTTTATCTTCTTTTTATTTCGTCAAATCATTCAGTTTATAGATCATCATTGATGTAAAAATGTTGATCAACAGATGATTGATCAATCAAGATGCATGATCGTTATAAAATATGTGCGCCTTTTTTTTTTTTTTTTTTTTTTTTTAAGGCATGTGCACCTTTATTGTATATATGCTTTATTGTGCAAAAAATGTGGTCGAACCTTGAGCTCAACATCACAATTCACAACTTTGCATCCTCACCATTGTCCCATGCCACGACTTTTATTGTTTCAGGTTGTGTCACTAGCCGGCCCTATTCATTGTCAATATTTAACTTGTACGTGGACAAACTCTTCTCCAACATTCTTAAGTAGGATTTGTTCAACTCCAAGAAGATTTATTATTCCACGTGTCCTTGAAACATATCACGTGCAGCTACTTGGTTAATATCTGCATGGCCCAAGATTGCAAATTGCTTTGGGCCATACCCGCTACTTGGGCTAACTCCATGGCCCAATGGCAGCAGACTCAAATGCAAAATGGAGACACTGACATACCGACATACATACATCAACATAATGCGCTTTTACAATTAAAAAAATTAATCATCAATTTTTATTTATTTATTTATTTTTACCTTTGTGGTTTAAAATGTTAACGTTTCAACCAGTGAATTCTTTTAATATTGTTAGAAATAGGAAGACTTTTCAATGACTACATAAAAATTTAGCCATTATAACTACTTTCAATCTCAATCGTTTAAATATCAATGATTAATATTGTCCATTTATATATTTGAGTTCTTAATTATAAAGAATTTTTTAAACTACTTTATTTTTACCCCAAAAAAAAAAAAAAAAACTGCTTGTTGCCGCCGTTGATGTAATTCCAACATCCAAGGTTTCAACCTTCAACCTAAATCTCCATTAAATAGGTATGGAGGAACAATATAATTAACATGGATAACATTAAAGTATAACCAAACAATCAATGGGAAACTGCCAAACAAACTTGAAAAAAGGGATACGATTTTATACATATACGAACTATATGGGTAATTGTAGAGCTGGACATCGTGTCGTGTCGGGTCGTCACGAGTCGTGCCGGGCCTAGGTGATGGCGGACTATGCCACCAAATGGCACACCCCAATCCACGGCCCGGCCCACGTACCTAGCGGGCCGGGTCGCGTGCCAGCCTTTTATTTTTATTATTAATTAATTAATTTTAATATTTTTATTATTTTTATTTTTATTATTTATAGTTCTTTATATTATTATGGTTCTTTTTATTATTTTTTTAGTTTTATAATATTTATTTTTATTATTTATAGTTTTTTTTTTAATTATTTTCATTATTATGAGTCGTGCTGGCGGGTCAAAAGTTCGTGCCGCGCGCGCGCTTGTGCCTATTTTTTTTTCTCACGGCCCGGCCCATCCCTCGTTCCTCGTACCGTGTCGTGCCGCTAGCAGGCTCATGTCGTGTTGGGCCGCTAATGTGTCGTGCCCATGCCACCCGCGGGCTGCCCCGGCCCATGCCCAACTCTAGGTAATTGGATAGGATAATTACACAATTCGTAATTATTTAATTATTGCTCTCCATAACTCTCCCCGATCATTCTTGCACTTATTGGTAGATTTCATGTTTTGTTACTCATATACATACTTTGCAAAAAATCATCAATGGAGTAGTTTATTGTGTAGAGGATTATGAAAAAACAGTTAAAGAATATTTTTGGGTATTTTTATGGTCAATTTAAATCAATGATCCTAATTAATATAATGATAATCAAGGGTGCAAATTTTGTTTTTGCAGTGACTACAATAATTGCAAAATTGTCTCTTAGAAATATATGAAGTACATTGTATTCTTTTATGTAAGCACTTTTTGAAAAACCTTTTTACTCAATATTGATTTTTATTTAATACATGTGCGTTCATAATATTTTTTCTTAAAATCATTACTTTTACGAAATAAAATAAGTGTAAAAATTTTGCCCTCACAAATCCCATAAAAATGCAAATGAAAAGATACATGGGTCGAAGTATATAGCTAGATTACGTTTACAGTAAAAATTAATGAAATGCTAAATAGCGCCATAAAAAAATTATCAAATCGTCAAACATTTCATGTAAAGAAACATTCTTGTCCTTACTAAAAAACATTCCCATTTTCTTTCTTTAACAGTAGTCCATCCACCACAACCAAGCTAAGTCAACCATCACCAATCACGACACCAGTACAACCCACGCTACTAAGTCGACCACCACAACCCACAACAACCGTGTCAACCACCACCATCTACACCGGATTGCCACCACGACCGCGAAAGTCCACGAGAAATAATGGATCGTGATCAAGGTGGCTCATCGAAGAATGAACCGGAAACACCATAGTCGGCTTTTCAGCAGGTACGGCTTTTTTCTAGGGGTTTATAGGGGTTTGATTGGCCGGAGAAAAACCGGGAGTCACAAAGTGATTAACCGTCATAGTAACCAGTTTTGGGCTCCGGTTACCGTGGTCAACCGGAGCTAAAAACCAGTTACTGTCCACGGTAATCGGTTTTGACCTAGGGTTATCGTGACCGAACGCCTGCTTATGTGCCGCCGCTGGCTTTCGCCGCTACCAACTGCAGCCGGTAGCCTCTACTATTTGGTTGTGGTGGTTGGGGAGAAAAAATGGGTTAGGGTTTAAAAAGGGCAATAATGACCCTTTTCTTGAAATGATGCGGTTTTGATAAATTTAAATGGCAATGATATTTAACACTCCCAAATAAGACCATTAGTCAAAGTTCAATAATTATGCAAAAAGGTGATTATTAATAAATGAATGAAGTCGTTGAAGTTCATGTAATATGAAAAGTAGATCAAGCATCACATACGGAGCATAACAATTATAACATCTTTAACGTCTAACTCATAGTATAAGTGTATAACGTTTTTACTTGTTTAAAAGTCGGCTAACTGTTAGAAAATTAGCATCAAGCTAAGCGTGACATGTCCACTAAAAATCGATTTTCCAGTACTTAATCCACTAGGGCCAGTGGATAGCAAGTAATCTCACTTCCATAATCACTTTCTCCATTTAAGATTAATTTAGCACGTGGTTATTAGAAGGAGTTAATCATCATTAGAACATGATAACTTTATAACTTAATGTTTAGAAAAGTAAAAAAGTGCACAAGTCGACATTGATTGGGATGATTAGAGCAGTCGAAGACTAGAAGCCTGCTATATTTGACTCATGAAGTAAGATCCAGTTACTTTCTATAAATATATACTTGTAAAAAGTCAATAGACCAATAATCTTACTCAGAAATTTACATACAAGTATTTATTTAATAAGTGAAATACAATTGGCTAACAATTTTTCCAAATAAGTGGCAAGAATTTTAATATACATCGCTATCTACGTCTAAACAAGACTCAAAATCTCAAATAACGAGGAAAGGTAGGTTGTAATTTGGTGCTATGTCGATAGAGAGACTTTTGCGTGACACCGGACTCACCGCGAGTCTAATATATCTGACAATAGTATTCTAATATCTGACAATAATATTCTAATATCTGACATTAATAATCTAATGTCATATATTAGATTATTAATGTCAAATATTAGATTATTAATGTTAGATATTAGAATATTAATGTCATATATTAGCATATTATTGTCAGATATTAGATTATTATTATTGTCAGATATATTGGACTCACCGTGAGTCCGACTCACCCAATTTTAATCGATGTCAATAAGATATTGATATACGAAATTACGAAGTTCTCGAAGTTAATAGGATAGTTGGATCAAACAATAATATACTTCCTTTGTTCCATAAATAATGCACCATTTGAATGGTTGACATTATTCAATTTACTCAACCATTTTTAATTACATATTTACATATTATTATATTCATTTTAGTATAGTTTTTATAATATTACAAAAATTATAATTGAAATTTCACATATAATTAAAGATTTGGAATTTAAATTGTGCATTAGGATGCGTAAAGTAGTATGAATGATAATACTTCAATTGTTTATTTTGTTGTTCCCGTTTCATATTCTATACAATGTCTAATGTTCGCATGCATATAAGCTTATTAAAGATGAATTGTTTTTTTGTATTGTTTTTTAACATATGGTTTTTACACTATTTATATATTAATTTTAACCAGAATTTATTGTTTATATAAAAATAATGAATGTTATAGTATATACGTAGTATGTAGTAGGCCGGCGTGTGATTAGTGTCAATGTTTGTCTTAAAAAAAAATTCTTCATATTATAATTTTTAAAATAACGAAATAAATCCATGATCAAAGCTTTGCATGAAATAGCATATAAGTGTAAGAAAATTGTACTAAAAAAAATAAAACGGATGAAGTATTGCTCTTATAATATAAATGGTTCATCTTTAAATTTGAGTGTATAGTATAGATGAAATGTTCTATACGGGCAAATATTAGAGAAACATAGGAAGTATAAAATTTTCATCAAAAACATACTTCCTCCGTTTTTAAATACTTGCAAGTCATTTATAAAAACTTGTAACACTTTCCTAAAATGGAAATGTCACAACACTTGGAAGTTGGAACACACTATAACTGGAAAGTTAATTATTTTGAGGAAAAGTTGTACAGTTTCCCTTATTTAAAGTACAAGCACGACCCACTAAATTATACTTCTAACAATCTCTCACCCCCATTTTAAAGTATATTAAATCATGTAAACCCCAATTTCTTAAATACCGTAAAAAGGTGTGTGTTGCAACTATTAAAAAAATGGAGGAAGTATATTATAAAGTACCAAGAAATATGAGAAGTTATCATAATAGAATGTGTTACTATTAGCTAACTAATTACAATAAAGGGTTTTTCCCCTTTTGATCCGTTGGATGCTTGATGTCGAAATTAGTGAATACTTTTATATATTTTGTTCATCTTTGACTAGATTTCTTCAAACTTGTAAGCTATGCATTTCAACAAAGCAGTAATACTAATACATCTAACTTAATCTCTATTTGTATATACAAGAAAACGACATATATATCCAAGTGGCAATTTTTAAATCGACTCCTCTATATATATATATACAACAAACATGCACTCATTTTTCAAACAACTAACACAAAAACAAAAACACATTCATTCCTTTTCTTCTTCGATCACTATCAAGTATCAACTACTATCACCAACTATGAAGAACTTGATAAGAAGGATAAGTAGGAAGAAGGAGCAATCTTCATCTATGTCGCCACCTCGATACTCAAGATTAAGTTGTGAGGAAGTGATGAATAATAATCATCCTAGACGTGAAACTCGAAAAGGGCGTGTGCCTATTATGGTAGGCAAGTGTGAGGAAGAAGAAGAGAGATTTATGTTACCTCTTGGTTGGATGAATCATCCTATTATTGTTGATTTGCTTCAATTATCTGCCAATGAATTTGGTTATCATCAAGAAGGTGTTATTCATATACCTTGTGAAACATGTCATTTTAGACTTCTTTTGGAAAATATTTCTTCCAATTAATAAGGGAGTAATATATTTATGATTAGCTTAATCATTAGATCGACTATGGTACATATATTTTTATGGTAATTAGGTTTTTTTTTCCTCCTAATCAAGATAATTTTTGTAATATTTCTATTTAAAATTGAAGCACAGGCGCACAATGATTGGAGATCATCCTTGTTCCTTTCTTTGTATATTGGAGTAGTGCAATATATAAAGTCTCTACCAAATATGTAGAATTGAACTACAATGATGAATTTTTCATCTTCTCTTATATTATTGGTTCACCTTATTTCATGCTTTGTTCACCTTATTTCAGCATATTTACTTAATATAATAAGTCCGAATAAATTCACAGCAGAGTATATGACAAGTATATATATACGGTGCATTTAAGTTCAAATTTGTTTTTCACATGAGTAATGAGCTAGCTAGTAAGACAAATTGAATTTACAACTGAATAAATTACGGATCATATCGGAGTATAATATGTACAGTTTTGCTAAGTTTAGACATTTTAAGTACATTCAGATAAGTTTAATTAAATTCAAATAATTAAGTTAAATTAAGTGAAAATCAAGTAAATAGACCATATACTTAGTTTTACATTAGAGGAAAAAATACCACTTAATTATCAGTGTATTATAACTAATTAGTTATAATATTACGATCGAGTTAAACTGAACAAGAAACTTGAACAACTCAATAATTATGACATGCAAATAAAATACTTTGAGTTTTTCAATTCTAATGAGATAACACAAATTCTTGATTAAGGCTGACTTTCAATAAGTTATTGTAAGACGGGTAAAGTTACCCTTAAAATCTTATATATTACAAAAGTTACCATTTTCCTAATATACATTCTACCCGTAAAAAATACTTATAAATTTATATAACGCATTAGATTAATCATATTAGCCTTCATGACATGCATGTATTCATTAAAAATTACACATTATTAAAATACAATCAAATTCATTATAATTAAAAGTCAACCTTAAAGGGATTAAAGTTACCATAGAAACTGTGAAAGTTACCCTTAAATTAATCGTCTTACAATAAAATTAAAGTAAGTTTGCTTTATACAAGACTTATTGATATGATATATCCTAAAATTCAAATAAGATAGTTATGTATTTACTCCTAGAGAAAATGTTGATTTGTAAGAGAATCGAACTTTCCTTCTTATTGGGTTTTCTAATTTAATTAAGACACATATTTTACTCTAGCTGCTAATGTGATAGATATGGGTTGGACTTCATCGATCATTAGAAGAGAGAGTGTAGTTCATAAAACGACCAAATTAAAAAAAGTTCCATCCCTAACAATATGATATTTGGGGCTTCCTAGCACTCGTACTAATTCAGTCAAATATTCCCTTACTAAACGCTGTTTTTATTATCTTCTCCGTATTAGGGAAACACCAAACATTCAGTCAAATATAAGTAGATGTTTTCGACCCATATAAAAAATAATTCCCGTGGTTATGTGAAAAACTAAAACTTTGTGAGTGAAATTTGTTAAACTTACGCACACGTATTTTCCTAGTATCACCTAATATTTTTATAATCTATAATATGGCACATGCACTAAATTAAAATTTAGATTTAGGTGCGTGGATGACCTGATAAGCTGATATGTTTGATATAAGAATATACTTCCCTTACTTCGTTTAACATTTATAACTTGGGATTCAAGATTGGTGGTATGTTGACTGGGCTATGCCGGCTATCAATGCTCCATGACATAGGTTTTAACTTCTAAGCTAATTCCATTAGATTAGTTGAGTAATGTTTTGAGATGATTTCGTGATATTCAAAAGCTGAGATCAAATCTTATTGACATTACTTATCCACTTGACTTTTCATACCCCAAAAAAATTTATACCAAGTATTCAAGATTGTGTAAAAGCAAATTAAACCTTCCTTTATCCCTATTTATTGTGACCACGTATAATTAGTCTGAAAGTAGAATTGTGATATGCTACAACTAACCAAAAATCATATAGAGAAAAATATAATTAATAGACTATAAAGAAAAGTAGCACAAACGTTAAAAGACGAAGAAGTAATTCCTAAAAAAAAAAAAAAAAAAAAAAGAAAGAAAGGACGAAGAAGTAACAAACAAAACACTTCGCCCCACGAATGAAGGCTATGGCCTCTCAGGCCCACAATAGATGCCCTTATGTAATTACGTTGCAATTGTGAATTTTCCCATATTGGCAATAAAATCTAAAGCAGCTGAAAAAAGTTCAAATTAGATGACTACATAAGACTAAATAACGATGGTGAGCTAAGAATGATTTTTATTCAAATAACGATGGTGAGAATGATTTTTAATTGACTGTTTATTTGTTCTTGGTATTTGACTCGGACCACTTCATCTTTCAAACTTGTGAGCTATGCGATTCCACAAAATATTATTTTATATGCGCGACGACAATATTATATTATTATACACAAAGTATTTAATTTATTTATATATAAGCCTAAGGTTGAGATCAAACTCGAGAATTGTAACATAAATTTATAAACTAAGCTATATATAAAACACATGCATGCATATTTTTTTTTTCTATCCTTCATTCAACAAATATAAACTAAGGACGACTAATAGATCATCGTCATTCCTACCAATACTACTACTATACGATCATATTAATGTCGAGGACTCGATATTCAAGGGTATGTTGTGAAGAAGTTGATCATAGAAAACATGAAGTTAGAAAAGGGTATGTGCCGGTTATGGTAGGGAAGTGTGTGGAGGAAGAAGACAGGTTTATGGTGCCTCTTGGGTGGATGAACCATCCTTGTATTGTTTCTTTGCTTCAATTATCGGCTAATGAGTTCGGGTATCATCAACAAGGTGTCATTCAAATTCCTTGTGAGCCAAGTTACTTTATACTTGTTTTGGAGAATATTTCTTCCAATTCAAAGGGATTTTAAGATTCATTATTTGGTTAGTTTAATTTAGTTAAATTAGTTATTTGGTCTCGTTAATTTTGGTGTTATTCACATGCATTAGATCAGACAATTTACTAGCTAATTTGTAAAGTTGAGATAATTAGTAATAGGTGTTTTGTATAAGAGATAGGGATATCGATCATTGAAAGCCATCTTTGTAAATTGTATGTTGTATCATCATACATATACTCTTATACCTAGTCATATGTGTGTAGTTTATATGGAAACATATTTATTTATTATTTTTGTTAGTACTTCATTTTTCTCTTTTAATAATATCGAGCATAATTTCTTTTACTTTGTAACATATATACGGTGAGCCTTTTTCTCTTTTACTAATATAATAATTAGCTCTTTTTACTCTCTTCGTTTCGAAATAAGTGACGCACGCAATTTCCAAGATATAATAGATTATTAGATTTATTGCTAGCTTATTAAGCAACCCTGGCTTAAGTTGTTCTGTCTTTTATTTAAAGATGTACGTTCCATTGTAATTTTTTATGTCAAACTTTAAAAACTTTAGCACTAATTCTTAAGAAATTAAATAATAGTCATATGAGATATTGTCAGATTCATTTTAATAATGTCTACTAGTATGATATCAAAGTTTTACAATTTTTACGAGTATATTAATTAAAAGTATTTATTATGTATTAAACGGGTCATCTAAAAGATAATAGATGAAGAAAAATGATGTATCTTTGAACGACAAAGGGAGTAGTAGTGAGTTGCCACACATTTGTCGGACATGTAGCAAATTTTAATTCTAGGTTTAAATTCATCAAAATCTTTGACTCGGACTTCAAAAATTTGAAACCAAGGTGTACATTACATAATACTTCGTATTACAATTAAATATGGACAAGATAAAGACAACAAAGGGACTATTTTGACGGCTATATATGACAAGAAAAAAGACGCTAAATTTAATTGAATTAACAAATATGAAATATGGAAACTACATACTCAATAGGCCAAAACCCATTTCATTCTTTCTCTCCTCCATAATTATCAACCAAAACCGGTTTGATAGAATTTGATACTATTATAACACCATTATATACTTGTATATATTACTGTTGATGATAATGATCACACTGATGATCAAGCCTCTGCCACGTAGGAGGCATTCTGTTACAAGCATGCTGACATGGAAAGATTACTCGGATCTAGAAGAAGTTTGTCAGAGCAAATTAGTTTGTTACAGCAAGTTGCAAGTTGTAATAGTTTGTATACATACACTTCTCTTGTAATGATTTCATTTTCAATCTAATGAAAATCAAACGCTCTATTTTCTCTTTCTTCTTCCTCATTTTACTGTAATTTCAGCAGACTTCAATAATTACCCACAAGGCCGCAATTATGAAGAATTTGATAGTAATTAAGGATCACATATTCATATGTAGGAAGAAAGAACAATCTTTATGGAAATCGACACCTCGATACTCGTGATTTTATGATAATCATCGAAGACATGAAGCTCGAAGAGTGGTGCCTCTAGCATGGATGAACCATCTATCCTTGTATTGTTAATTTGCTTCAATTAGATGCTAATGAATTTCTTGTACCCCGTAATTAGATAATCAATTTTTTTTGTATATTCCTTTTTTTGTTTGAAAAAGGTTAACATCAATTTATAATATTTACTTTTTTTAAATAATATTTTAATCTATAATTTACAAAACTATATATATTATATGTAGTTTAATGTATTCATCAGTTAATTTAAAACGAGTCTAACAAGATTTCACATGATTGAGTGATCGATCGACTATATTATTTCACATATAAAAAAGACCTTATCGTTAAAATATTCAATTATGACGAAAAGAAAATCCTATAACGACGTTGGGAAGGAAAGACAAAGACCAAACTACCAAAGACAACTTACTTACTTCACTAAACTGCTATTAAAAGAGGGCCCCAAGCACTACTCCGGTATGAAAGGAAAAGGGAAAGATCAGAATTCGATATAAATAATTTGATGATTAGCAATCGAAGCAGGTTATTTATGACTAATTTAGGAGGAGATGTTGTTCATGTAAACACTTTCTAATAATAATAATAATAATAATAATAAATCTTGTTTCATGGAAAATTATTAAGAGGATACGATTTGGCCTACCAAATCTAAGTGGTCCAGTCGTGTTAAACTACAATATAATGTGGATTCCAAGCTCTCCAAAGTAGGAAAGAAAAGTTGGTTTCAAGATTAATTATTTATTTTTGTGTGTAAATAGAGGGCAATTATTGTCAATAAATCAATTAAGCAGACACATTAAGATTTTATGTACACTTTGAATTCTTGAACCTTGACTAGTCCTTGAGAGAGATTATTATACACACCTGGGTGCACCGTACATCTATGAGTATTTTGTTCTCATTTTGATGATTGTTTCTCATTTAATCATCAAATAGAGAGTAAATATTAACTTTAGGTTAGTTGGGTGTACGATACACCCGGGTGTATATAAGTATATAACCAAATTCTAAGTCCTTGAAACTTTGACAACTAATTTACTTCATATTCACCATTATTATTTACAGATTAACGAGTGTTAATAATTTGACTTTTTTTCAACAAATAAAAAAAAATGTCGATCCATCTAGTGCATTTTGTGGGTTGGGATTATAGTACAACAGAATAAAACTCGAAATTATTCTCAAAAAATTGTTCTAATTTAGAACCCATGGCTCAAATTTATTTGTTCAGTAGAAATATACTCCGTTCTTTTGATTGTTTATTTATGCCATTAGTAGTATAACGAATTCAAGTTAGAAGTTTCTATTTTTATCAGCTGGGATACGAGTCATACGACCCTTGTCTTTTGATTGGCTTCGGTAGAATTTTGTTGACTGTATTTCAATGCTCTATCTTTGACTTTTCAAACTAACTTCTAACCCACACGTGTCCACTAATTCAAGAAAACGAGAACCGACTATCCAATAAAGAGCTATCTAATTTAAAACCGCTATATATATACATGCACATACTTGCATTATTATTCAAGCAACCTAAAAAACACATTGCATAACAAAAACTTTCTCTCCTTCAATACTATTGTTAATCCACAACAATACTAATAATGAAGGATTTGATCGGAAAGATAGTAAGGAAGAAGGAGCAATCTTCATCGTGTTCGCCCCCTCAATACTCAAGATTATCATCATGTTGTGAGGATGAAGTGAAGAACAAACATCAAAGAAAACATGATCAAGTGGCTAAAAAAAGAGGGTACGTGCCTATTATGGTAGGGAAAAGTGAGGAAGAAGAAGAGAGATTTATGGTGCCTCTTGGTTGGATGAACCATCCTTGTATTGTTGAATTGTTACGTGTATCCGCCAACGAGTTTGGGTATCATCAACAAGGTGTTTCACAAATTCCTTGTGAACCACATCATTTTAGAGTTGTCATGGAGAGTATTTCTTGTAAATAGAATTTACGGAATCTTTAATGTAAACTCTGTAATTTTTACTATTTTTTCGAAATTAATTTTAGATGTAGTATCATTTATTTGTTGATCGATTTAGGTACTTTGTGTATATAAAGTATTGATATGTGTATAAGAAAAATTATCAGTTTTAGAATTGAATTTTAATTAGTACTATAAGATACAGTGAGCATTGGTGATCATTTTTTTTTAATTATTAGTAAATTTTTTCTTGATTTTCTTTGATTTTTATTTTATATATTGTAGCTAAAATAATTATTCATTGAATTTTACTTTTTCTTTATTGAAGAATTTGAATTACAGATAATGGAAAAAGTCCCTCCGTTTGCAAATTAATTAACTAATTAAGAATGATTAGCTTATTTTGACGAGCATTATTATTGGTTAGCTTCTTTATTTGCAAGTGGATTATCTCTATTATTAATTAGGGCAAGCTAATCCAAAGCATGACTATTCGTAATTGCGTAGGTCAAAGGCAACTTTAATTAATTATACACTAGCCCCAAAATTCGAACTCCAAATTTGTGACAATATTGAAAATGTATTACCCAAAAAAGGATTCGGAGGGAAAAGAATTTAGATTATACATATACATACAAGCTCAAAGGACCAAGTTATTATATCGAACACCAATAGGCAATAATTAATTAGGAGGGATAACTCTTTGAGCTCATATTGAGTTATTTCATTCACATTCGTCAATATGGGAATACATCTCTAGTCAAATGTGGGTTGATCATGGGAGCTAATCAACATTATCGATATTATTATTGTAGGAGCATATAAAAAGAATTAGTCGCAGTATGACTTGATTATGCACCGTAAAATCTGTATACGATTTAGGGGATATACAACGAAAATATTGATCGATAAATCGATTGTTGCTTTGAAATAATATTGATCGAATTGAATCAACTGGTCGTGGTCAAAGAAATTAAACTTGTCGTGACAGTGTGTGACATTACACAAATCTGTATGATCAGTTTGTAATATATAGTTACTTCCAATTAGACATTATTGGTATTTTTCCCATAAAATAAAAAAATATATATGTATATAAAAAGCAATACCAAAATGAAATTTTGTTATGAAATTTCAAATAAAACTAATGAAAATTTAAATAAATAATTAATTATATTGACAATAAATCAATTAAGTAGACACATTAAGAATTTATGTACACCTTGAGTTCTTGAATCTTGACTAGTCCCTGAAACTTTGCCAATTAATCTACTTGATATTCACCATTATTTACAGATTACAAGCTTAATTATAAATTAGTAGCATTGGATAATGTTTACATTGTTAACAATATTATCATTAAAATTGCATCAAAAACAAGGAACAAAAACAATATTACTAAAAAAAACGAGACAATTTCTTTATACAAGTATATATTTATAGTATGAGACTCACTGGAGGGGGAAACAAGAGAAAATTTTCAAATGGGCAAAATCCCTAAAATACTTTGTTCAACCTCATTTAAGATAGAATTAATTTTAACATCTTGGAATTGAGAATATTTAAGAATAACTAGTGTCAACAATTTGGCTAGTTTTTTTTTTTTTTTTTTTTTTTTTTTTTTAAATACTGTCGAGATCGACCTCTAGTGCATTTTTGGTATGGGATTATATACCGCAGAAATAAAACTCGGAATAATTTCTCAAAAAATGCTCAAATTTTGAACCCATGGCTCAAATTTTATTTGCTCAATAGAAATATAGCTTTTGCTTGTTTGTTTATGCTACTACACCATTATTAGTAGTATAACGAATTCAAATTAGAAGTTTCTATTTTTAGCAACCGGGATACCCTTAGCTTTTGATTGGCTTCAGTAGAATTTTGTTGACTGTGTTTCAATGCTCTATCTTTGACTCAAATATCTTTTCAAACTTGTAACGAACTAACCCACACGTGTCCACTAATACAAGAAAACGACAACCGACTATCCAGTAAGGAGCTACATATCTAAAACATATATATATATATATATATATATATATATATATATATATATATATATAGTATGGATCATGTGAAAACAAATGTTAGGGTGAAAACTGAAAACGATTCATCCTAGCCGTAGATTATAATCTAGCGGATGACATCTAACGTTTATATACTAATTTTCTCTCTCCTCCCACGAAACAATTTCTCTCTCCTCCGTTATTTTCTTCCTCCTCTCCCTCCTCTCTCCTGCTTTCTCTCTCCTAATTTCTCGACATTTTTTTCCCCAATTTTCACGCTATTTTTTTCAAATTCAGCTTCAATTACTTTGATTTCAGCAATTTTTCAGCTCTACGATCTATTATCAGGTGAGTTCTTTGTGTTAATTTCGCTATTTTTTGCATGATTTGAGGTTTTAAGGTTTTTGAAATTTTCATCAATTTTGTTCGATTTTGTTTGATTTTGCGATTTTCTGTTCGATTTTGTTCAATTTAGTTCGATTTCATGTTTTACTAATCGATTAACTTTAGTTTCTTCCTTAATTTCATTGATTTGTTCGGTTCAGTTGAGTTTTTCCACCGTTTTTAACTAATTTGAAGTTCAACTTGTTGATTTGATTGATTTTTGCAGTGGAAGAAGAAGCGTATGAGGAGATTGAAGAGGAAGCACCGATAGATGAGACGGAGATCTAAGTAGAAGAAGATCTACAGCTTTCACGATTTTTCACTCGCATTGAGAATTAGCTTTCTGATATTTGTGACGGTATTTTGAAGCTTCAGGACATTAAGCTTATTCCTCCTGCTAGTAGTGGTGATTCTAAGGTCTTTTATTTGAAGATGATGGGAGATTATCATAGGTATTTGCGGCTGAGTTTAAGACTGGTGCTGAGAGGAAAGAAGCCGCTGAGAGTATTCTCACAGCCTACAAGGTTGCTCAGGTTTAATTAATTTTTTCCTTTTTTTTGTTTGGTAGATATGTTAATTAGGGTTTGGATTTGGTTTTTGTTTGTGATTTTTGCGTTGATTTGCTATGATATTTGCATTTTGCTGGAATCATTGAGGAATATTCAAGAATTTGATAAGCTCTTTATGAGTTTCTACTTCAAGAACAACTCATCTTCTGTGAGTGGCTCTTGTTTTACCATCTTTATAGGCTCCTGGTGCTTCTGTTGTTGATTACAAGAGTTATTATCGCATTCCTCTTGGACATCTGCAGTGTAAAATGTGAAGGATTAGTATCTATTTCTTTTTCGTTAAAACATATAAATTAGTTTTGAAAATCTGTTTTTCTTGATCAGATATTAGGAAGATAATATTTGATGAACTATAGGATGTTTGATAAGCTTGTTTGTTTCTTTCTTTAACCAAGAGCATTGATGGTTGTTCTTGCAATTGTGGTTTAAATGGTGTTTGAACATGGTAATATATATGTGTAAGAATCAAATGGAAAAAAGAATATGGACAAGAAATGAATAGATTTGTTTGGATCAGAAACTCGTAGAGGATACATATCCTCTAGTCTCTGATGGTATATTCTTTTATTGGGGAATTGGAGTCTTTTTTTAAGAATTGCTCTTGAAAATTTTAGGCATGTAATTGCTTACCTTTTTCTATTATCTGATGCATGATTTGTACTTCACCAGGTATCAATTTTTCCCTTTGATCTTCAATAACTGTTGATACTTTATTATCATCCTGAAACATGCAGGGTAAAGGACATGTTAGTTAAATGGTAGAAGTGTGTCTTTAGAAATTTATTTCTAGAACTCGAGTATGCTAGTTTGCGTTATTGCGAGCTCTATCATTCCTGATCTTACCTTGTCAGCTGGAGTTAGTGTAGTAACCTTCTTCAGCCTTTGTGAAGATTTATCTTTGATTGTATGATTTTTGGTGCCTGCTTGTTCAATATCTACATTTTATCGAGATTCCTCATATACAGGTGGCTTGCTCGTATCATGATTTCCTGGTATGCTTTCATTTGCCTCTGCTTCTGTCCTTAAAACGTTGATCTTGTCAAGCTTGTTTTGCTTCAGTCTGTATGAAGTCTGTATGATGTTGGTCTGTGATGTTGGTATGCTTTTATTGGCTGTTTTGGCATGTTGAAAGCCTATTAGCTCAATTGGTCGAGCACTGTGTAATCACGGGATGTAGGTTCGAATCCTACATGGACTTTTTTAATACTTATTTTTATATTTATTGACCTCTGGGTAAATGGTGTCAAATTGATATAATTACCCGAAGTTCATATATAGTTACCTTATTTTCGATATAATGACCTTAGAATTATGGAAATGCTTTAAATTTTGTTTCAGTCACCTTATTTTTATATATAGTGATCTTTATTTTTGTATATAGTGACCTTTATGTAAATGGTGTCAAAAACTCAGTCGATATAGTTACTTTATTTTTGTATATAGTGACCTTTATGTAAATGCTGTAAAAATTGTTATAGTTATCCTATTTTTGTATACAGTGACCTCTATGTAAATATGGTCAAAATTGAAATAGTTACCCTTTTTTTGTATATAGTGACCTTAATGTAAATATTGTAAAAATTGATATAGCTACCCTATTTTTGTATATAGTTACGTTATTTTTATATATAGTGAATCTATGTAAATATCGTCAATTTAGATGAAGTTACCTTATTTTAAGCATGTAGTGACCTTTTAAACGGTTGAATTGATTATATGTAAGGTTGGAATGATCTTAGGGCTTTAGAACCGTCTGATCTTTTGTGCTAGTAATGAATGGCTAAGATTGCTTGTTTTTAGTTTTCACCATAAGCTCTGTTTTTAGCGGAACCCCCCCGTATATATATATATATGTGTGTTAGAAGATAAATATGAATGCCTATAATTATTTGATTTGATTTCACAATGTTCACACAAGTCCAAAAACTTGTGAACTTGTGTGGCATTATATGTAAAACTCTTGGCTATATAAGCCATGTTACCGGAGCAATATACATAATCAATTTCTCCATCTTCTCTTACTCCTTTATAAAACTTTCTATCGGTAAAACTTTAACACGTTATCAGCACCAGTTTTCAGTCAGGTATATTTATACCTACTTATAAAAATTTATAACAAATAATACTATCTACTTCTAACTGTTTCGAGGAGTATGCTCTATAGTTGCCCATATTTGGGATCCTCTATAACAGAAACTCAAACATTTACTATATATATACCTCAAAAACAACGGTGAAAGTTCTCTTACTTGTGAATTTACTACTATCATCTTTTGTTTATTCATGTTGATGTTTCTTTGTTTGATCCATGTTGATATTACATACTCATTTTACGTAAATTTTTATCTTAGTTATTATAATTGCTAAGTAGTAGCTTTGCATGCATATTATTATTAACTAGATTAACAAAAAGATGCAGCCTTTTTTATACTTATTATTTTTCTTACTTTTACATACTTTTTTTGTGTTTCTTTCCGTTTTCGAACCCATGATCTTTTATAGATATTAGGGCTCTCGGACCACTATGGCTTGCATTCCCAGTGTGATAACTTTTTACAATTATAAATATATATATTTAGACCATAATTTTTGTCAGTATATTAGATTGTTATATGATATTTTTACAGTTGTACAAAACAGTAACAGATAAACCTACCTCGGTAGATTTTCCCCCGATTTTCACCACAAATCTCTTATCCTCTCTTTATCCAAAAATCACCCAAAAATTATTCACCCCTTCTTCTCCAATATGTTCCCCGACGGCGACCAAAACATCCAAAACACCCACACCTTCACCTTTGAGGAAGATTTAAAGAAAATAAAACAATATTTTCTCCTAATTACGGCGCTTGTAGTTCTGTTAGTAGCAATATTAATTTTTGTCATAATGTACAAGTGAAGTTTGTTTATTTTGTCGGTTAAAAGCATGTTTTGTTTTATTATGTTGTTTTGTTGTTTTAAATCATCATTGTATAATATTACCATTATTATTATAATTATTGTTACTACTATTGTTGTTGTCGTTTTGCTGCTTATACGACTAATATGATTTTTTTTATATAGTTATATAATTACTCACAATAATAAACCAAGGGGGGAGAAAGAACTATTTTATTTATGTCTTATTATTGTTAAAAAAAAAAAATTAATTATCATGTGTTTCATTAACAAACTAAAAATATGGAAGAATTAAACACATGTGATATACGTATGATTATAAACTAATTATCACGTAATTTGTTGTAGTTAAAATGGGAGATCTTGTGAAAAGACAATTCAACATTCTAGATTTATCTGGAAAGAAATTTTTGGAATGGAAAGTGGATGCCATGATGAATTTAAAAGCTCAAGGGTTGGAGCATATTGTTAATAAAAGTCCCCCTGGTCAAACAACTGATACTACCACTTCTGCAATGACGGTTGAAAAACCCATTACCGAACAAGAAAAGGCAAAAGCCTTAGTGTTACTAAGGCATCATTTACATGAAGGCCTTAAAACTGAGTACATGATGGTTGAAGATCCCAAAGAATTATGGGACTGCCTTAATGAAAGATTTGGACACCACAAAAGGGTGCTCCTTCCTAAGGCATTATTTGACTGGACAAATTTACGGTTCCAGGATTTCAAATCTGTAATAGATTACAATTCAACCATACATGAGATAGTATCTATATTGAGATACTGTGATCATCCAGTCACCGATGAACAAATGATTGAAAAAACACTCACTACCTTTCATGCAAGCAACATACTGTTGCAAGAACAATATCGTGAAAGAGGTTTTAAGAAGTTTAATGAATTAATGAGTGTATTGCTTGTTGCGGAACAAAATAGCGATCTTTTGTTGAAAAATCATAATCTCAGACCAATTGGGTCTTTGGCCACTCATCATGAGGCAAATGCAACAAGTTCTTATCCACTCGAGGCAAATGCTGCACGAAGAGGTGGACGTGGAAATTACAATGGCCGTGGAAAAGGCCGTGGAAATTATCGCGGACGAGGCCGAGGACGTGGTAGAAACAATTTTCAAAGAAACAGTAATTTCAAAAATTTTGAAAAACAGAAGGGACATTCATCTGGAAGCCACAAACAAACTCTTTCAAAAGGAAAAGACACATGTTACAGATGTGGCATGACAGGACATTGGGGACGTACTTGTCGTACGGCCAAACATTTGGTAGACCTTTACCAGGCTTCTGTAAAAGGCAAAGAGAAAAATGCAGAAGCAAATTATGTTAATGAAGAAAATGCTCTATGTCCTACCCTTGATGTGTCCGATTTCTTCATGGACAATGCTGAAACTGGGAATGATTTCATCTTTGGAGAAAATAACAATGCTTAATTAACCCATCTACTGATGTAATATATACTACGTTTTAATGAATTTTCTGATATGTATTTTAAATGATTAGTCATGTACTCTTAATTTCTATCATAAATAAAAGAATGTATGATATTATTCTAAACTAATCTCAAATTTATTTTATGAAGATATGGATCTACCTGAAGTTAGTTCCGAATATCAATGCCTTTTGGACAGTGGAACAACACACACTATCTTAAAGGAAAGGAAATATTTTTCACAACTAAAGTTGTTTCAGGCAAATGTAAACACTATCTCCGGGTCATCAAAATTAATTGAAGGATCTGGAAAGGCTTGTATAATGCTTCCAAATGGAACAAAATTAATAATCAATAATTCTTTATATTTGAGTAAATCTCGAAGAAATCTCATAAGCTTTAAAGATGTACGCCAAAATGGCTATCATCTAGAAACAATGACAACAGATCAAAAAGAGTATGTATGCCTCACGGCAGAAAAACATGGCAAGAAACATATATATGAGAAATTGCCAGCATATTCTTCGGGGTTATATCGTATAAACATACGACCCGTGGAAATCAATATGGTATCTAACCAGAAGTTAGATGACAGACATTTGATTATTTTATGGCATGATCGTTTGGGACATCCAGCAACTGGGATGATGCAAAGAATAGTAGCACATTCAGTTGGACATTCAATAAGAAATGTCAAAATTCCCCGATCAGATGAATTAACATGCTCTGCATGTTCACTTGGCAAATTAATAATAAGGCCATCTATGAACAAAATTGCTACTGAATCTCCAAAATTCTTGGAAAGAATTCAGGGAGATATATGTGGGCCAATTAATCCAGCATGTGGACCATTTCGATATTTCATGGTTTTAATTGATGGCTCTACACGATGGTCACATGTTAGTCTACTTTCAAGTAGAAATGTTGCCTTTGCAAAATTACTTGCCCAAATCATCAAATTAAGAGCACAATTCCCAGATCATACAATAAAGAAAATAAGACTTGACAATGCTGGGGAATTTACATCCCAAACATTTAATGATTATTGTATGTCAATTGGAATTGATGTTGAACACCCAGTAGCTCATGTTCATACACAAAATGGTCTAGCTGAATCACTAATTAAGAGATTACAATTGATTGCAAGACCATTATTAATGAGGTCAAGATTGCCATCATCTGCTTGGGGACATGCTATAATACATGCAGCAGCGCTAATTAGATTGAGACCTACAGCTTATCATAAATTCTCACCACTACAACTTGTTTGTGGTCGAGAACCAAGTATCTCACATCTAAAAATCTTTGGTTGTGCTGTATATGTTCCCATTGCTCCACCCCAACGAACAAAAATGGGTCCACAAAGAAGGCTGGGAATTTATGTCGGGTTTGAATCCCCCTCTATAATTAAATACCTTGAACCATTGACTGGTGACTTATTTACGGCTAGATTTGCGGACTGTCACTTTAATGAAACAGTATTCCCAGCCTTAGGGGGAGAGAAAGTGGACCCACATAAGAAAGAAATTGAACTCATTTGGAATGCAACACAACTGTTGATGTTAGACCCACGAACAAATATGTGTGAACAAGAAGTTAAGAAAATTGTTCATTTACAAAGTGTTGCAAATCAATTGCCTGATGCATTTGTAGACGCAAAGAAGGTGACAAAATCACATATACCAGCAGAAAATGCCCCTGCACGTATTGAAATCCCAACTGGTAATAAGGCCATAGAAAATGAATCTCAGGCACGCAGAAAGCGTGGAAGACCACTTGGTTCAAAAGATTCTAAGCCAAGAAAATTGAAAAGATTGGATGTAATAGAAAATGAGACTAATGATGTTCCCCCGTCAGAAGGTCAAGAAAAACCAAATGTGGATGAAAGTAAAGAAAATGATGATAATCCAAAAGGGGACGAACAAGAAGACAACCCTACGGGGAATGAACAAGATGTTCAAAACATCGATAACAATGAAATTTCAATGAATTACGTCTCTACAAAGACTCAGTGGAATAGGAAAGATGTTATCGTTAATGAAACATTTGCAAATTCCATCGCAATCGACATCGTGTCTGATGAAAATGATGTTGAACCAAGAACTGTAGAAGAATGTCGACGTATGAGTGATTGGCCAAAGTGGAAGGAGGCAATGCTGGCTGAGTTAAAGTCACTTGAAAAACGAGAAGTTTTTGGGAAAATAACCCTTACACCAGCAGGTATAAAACCCGTTGGATACAAATGGGTATTTGTGAGAAAACGTAATGAGAAAAATGAAATAGTTAGATACAAGGCAAGACTTGTAGCCCAAGGATTTTCTCAAATTCCAGGGATTGATTATGAAGAAACATATTCTCCAGTGGTTGATGCAACTACATTAAGATTTCTGGTAAGTTTGGCAGTCACAAAAGGACTGCAAATGCGATTAATAGATGTAGTGACTGCGTATTTGTATGGGTCACTCGATACGGACATTTACATGAAAGTCCCCGAAGGACTAAAACTACCAGAAAACCACAAGCCTAGACAACTGCTTTCCATAAAACTAAAAAGGTCACTTTATGGATTGAAACAATCTGGAAGGATGTGGTACAACCGTCTGAGTGAATACCTTATGAGAGAAGGATTCAAAAACAACCAAGTTAGTCCCTGTGTTTTCATAAAGCGATCACAATCAGGATTCGCTATCATTGCAGTTTATGTTGATGATTTAAATATCATCGGAACCCCAAATGAACTCGAGAAAACTGCAAAATACATGATGAAAGAATTTGAGATGAAAGACCTTGGGAAAACTAAATTTTGCCTTGCACTACAAATTGAGCACTTGAGTCATGGCATTTTTGTCCATCAATCAAACTATACAGAAAGAGTTTTGAAACGTTTCTTCATGGACAAAGCAACCCCAACCAACTTCCCAATGGTTGTTCGTTCTTTGAATATGAAAAATGATCCATTTAGACCCCGAGAAGAAAATGAAGAGATTTTGGGTCCAGAAGTACCATACTTAAGTGCAATTGGAGCCTTAATGTACTTAGCTAACAATACTAGACCCGACATAGCTTTCTCTGTGAATTTGTTAGCCAGGCACATCAATGCACCAACATATAGGCATTGGAAGGGAGTTCGACACTTACTCCGGTACCTACGAGGGACACAAGACCTTGGTTTATATTACCAACCAAAACAAGATGCTGCTCTCATTGGGTATGCAGACGCTGGATACTTATCAGATCCTCAAAATGCCAAGTCACAAAATGGATATGTATTCACTTATGGCGGCACTGCAATATCATGGAAATCAACAAAGCAGACATTGACCGCGACATCATCAAATCATGCAGAGTTGATAGCCCTCTATGAAGCAGGACGGGAATGTGTGTGGCTGAGGTCGATGATCAGTAATATCCAAAAGGAGTGTGGAATGAACGCAATAACAGAAGACCCAACCATCATCTTTGAAGGCAATACAACATGTATCGCTCAAGTAACTGAAGGATATATTAAGGGAGATAAAACGAAACATATTGCCCCAAAACTGTTCTTCACACATGATCTGCAAAAGGACGAGGAAATAAATATCCAGCAAATTCAGTCTTGTGAAAATCTTGCCGACCTTTTCACCAAATCACTTCCTTCGAAGAAATTTGAACAGTTAGTTCACAAAATCGGAATGCGACATCTTCGTGAACTATGCTGAGATCAGGGGGAGTATTATATGTACTGCACTCTTTTTCCCTTCGATCAGGTTTTTATCCCACCGGGTTTTTCCTGACAAGGTTTTTAACGAGGCAGTATACCAAAGCATATAATACTATATCGTTGTACTCTTTTTCCCTAGCTATGGTATTTACCCCATAAGGGTTTTACCTAGCAAGGTTTTTAATGAGGCAACAAATACCTTTCTGTATAATAAGTATGGGCATTCAAGGGGGAGTGTTAGAAGATAAATATGAATGCCTATAATTATTTGATTTGATTTCACAATGTTCACACAAGTCCAAAGACTTGTGAACTTGTGTGGCATTATATGTAAAACTCTTGGCTATATAGCCATGTTACCGGAGCAATATACATAATCAATTTCTCCATCTTCTCTTACTCCTTTATAAAACTTTCTATCGGTAAAACTTTATATATATATATATATATATATATATATATATATATATATATATATATATATATACTTGCATTATTATTGAAGCAAACCTAAAATAAATCACACAATTACTTTCTCTCTTGATTTCAATATTATTGTTAATCCACAACAATAATAATAATAATGAAGGGTTTGATCGGAAAGTTAGTAAGGAAGAAGGAGCAATCTTCATCGTGTTCGCCGCCTCCATACTCAAGATTATCATCATGTTGCGAGGATGAAGTGAAGAACAAACATCAAAGACATAATCAAGCTAAAAAGAAAGGGTATGTACCTATTATGGTAGGGAAAAGTGAGGAAGAAGAAGAAAGATTTATGGTGCCTCTTGGTTGGATGAACCATCCTTGTATTGTTGAATTGTTACGTGTATCCGCCAACGAGTTCGGGTATCATCAACAAGGTGTTCTACAAATTCCTTGTGAACCGCAACATTTTAGAGTTGTTATGGAGAGTCTTTCTTGCAAATAGAATTAACGGAATCTTTAATGTAAAAGTTGTAATTTTTTCTTTTCTTTTGAAATTAATTTTAGAAGATGTAGTATCATTTATCTGTTGATTTAATTTATTTTTTTGAAGCAATCATTTATTTGTTGATCGATTTAGGTAATTTGTGTTATAAAGTATTGATATATGTATAAGAAAGGGTATTAGTTTTAGAATTGAATTTAATCAGTACTATAAGATACAGTGAGCAATGCATTGGTGATCATTTTTATTATTCATTACAAGTAATTTTTTCTTGATTTTCTTTCATCTTTATTTTATATATTGAAGCTAAAATAATTATTCATTGATTTTTACTTTTTCTTCTTTGAAGAATTTGAACTATATATGGGAAAAAAAAAGTCCCTCCGATTGCAAATTAATTAACTAATCAAGAATGATTAGCTTATTTTGACGAGAATGATTATTGATTAGGTTCTTTATTTGCTAGTGGATTATCTCCATTAGGGCAAGCTAATTCAAAGCATGACTATGCGTTGGCCGAAAGCAATTTAAATTATACACTAGCCCAAGATTTTGAACTTCAAGTTTGTGAAAATATTGAAAATGGACTGCCCAAAAAGGATTCGGAGGGGGAGAATAATTTAGGTTACATGAAGTGTATATATATACTAGTTCAAAGGATCGAGTTTATTTTCACATCATAAAACCAATAGGCAATTAAGAGGGATGGATAACTCTTTGAGCCTTTAGTGACTTATTTCATCCACATTCTTTAATGTGGGAAAACACCTACGGTCAAATGTGGGTTGATAATAGAAGGAGAAATACAATAAAATATTGATCGATAAATTGATTGTTGCATTGAAATATTAACTCGATCGAATTGAATCAATTGGTCGTGTTTGAAGAACGAACTAAAACTTGTCGTGACACTACGCCAGTCTATACGATCAATTTATAGTACGTACTTCCAACTAGCAATAATTGATATTTCCCAACAATATAACAATAAAAATAAATTAAATTAGCAATACGAAAATGGAATTTCATTGTGAAATTTCAATTAAAACTCATAAAAAATCAACAAAGTATTTAAGGTGTTTTTTTTTTCTTTTTTTTTTATGGGAACTAATTAATTAAGCTAATTGACATAAAAGTTTCTAGTTAGCGAGTCAAAACTTGGACCCAACAAATTATAACGTCTTTCCATAATCAAGTGAGTTGGTTGCATAAAAAATAAATAATCAAATGAGTTGGTTTCTAAAGAAATATCACATGATAATCAGTTTCTACTTGACAATATTATTTTAGTATCTAAAGGGATGATAATCCTTATTGTTACAACTTAAAAAATATTTGTAAAGTTAATTCCTAGTATGAAAAGAAAAAGGAGGATTACGTCAATATATTGATTAGCAGTCGAAGCATGCATGTTAATTTTGACTAATTATGAAAAAGTCTTAATTCATATACGAATCTTGCTCGGAAATATCATGATTATTATAAATTAGCAGGATGATTAGTTTAGTGCACCATATTTAATTAAGTGGTAGGGACGTATAATCTATATTAGATTTCAAGCTCATTTGGAAAGTATGGTTAAAACATTTTCTTGGTTTGACTAATATTGTTAGGTCATCTAGGAAATAGACATATAGAAAAATATTTTTATTCAAATGAGCACAAGAACAATACAAATTTATCACAGTATTACTTTATAAATAGGGTAGGGGATTTGAACTTATGACTTATCGTACATACTCTCAATCTTAATCAGTAAGTGAAGACTTAGCTTATTGGTACAATAAAATTAAACATATTAGTAGTGCTGAGTTAGATTCCACTTTCGATCACCAACCTTTATTAAAGGTGGTCTTATTTCACCTAGTGAGTGATCCAAGTTTTTCATACAGAATAATACGGAGTAACACATAATTAAAGTTGCATTGATTTATTTTTCGATTTTAACTAGAAACCTTTTGTAATTTGTTCAGTCCCACTATCGTACCCGCATTGCAATAAAGGATTAAGAGTCTCTTAAACTAATTTAAAATTACTTTTATTTTTTTAAATCATTATTAAAGGTTTAAATTTTGTTCATTTTTTTTTAAAAAAAAATCATCATCTTTGACTAGGACTTCCAAATTTCCAATTAAAGTTAATAAACCACGAGGGTTCATATATAAAATGCAACCAATGAGATATTATATTAAGACGGCTATATAAAGGTGTTTTATTGTGAGCATATATAATATATACACACTAGCTCCACTAGTCCACTACACAAATTGAAGCATATATTTACAAACAACCCAATAACTAATTCAAACATACATTCTCTCATCTCCCTCCTTCAATTTTATTCAAGATCAAAGACAACAACTGATACACCATCTACTTTACTACTACGTACATACAATGAAGGATTTGTTAGGAAGAATAATTAAGAAGAAGGAAGGATCTTCATCGATGTCGCCTCCTCGATATTCGAGGCTAGGTTGTGAGGAAGTGAATAATGATGATGATCAAAGGCAAGAAGCTCAAAAAAGAGGGTACATACCTATTATGGTAGGCAAGTGTGAGGAGGAAGAAGAGAGATTTATGGTGCCTCTTGGTTGGATGAAACATCCTTCTATTGTTGATTTGCTTCAATTAGCCGCTAATGAATTTGGATATCATCAACAAGGTGTCATCCATATTCCTTGTAAGCCACATCAATTTAGAGTCGTTATAGAGAAAATTTCTTGTAGATAGAACGGAGTTAGCTTAGGAGATTTGAACTTGTGACTAGCGGTCAAATAATATACGAATTTTGTACATGTTTTGCCCTATGTAATTTAATTAGTATTGTTTCAAGCTTTACTGCCATTTTGTAAAGAAAAAGATTGAATTATTTGTAAAGATTGAATGTATTAGTTATGATCGATGGTGGTACACCAGCAACAATTGAAACAAATGAATAATAATCACTGATTTTTTTATATTAGTATTTTACTTATTCTTTTAATTTTCATCAATCTCTTAATTACTATTGTAAACTGGAAGAAACAATCAATCATTTTGCATTTGCAAAATACAGACGTAACGAAAAGCTACACATTATTGTGATAAAAGAGGCAAAATTTATTAATCAAGTATTACAAGAAATAATCAGGCTCATCACCCATGCATGCTATACAAACTCATCATCCATGTGTGTCATATAATGATATAAACTCTTCCCCTGAAAGGGTTTTTCTTTAAAGTCTCCCGTCAATAAAATAAAACTGAAAAAATGGAATAGCTAGAGGTCAAATAATACTATCTTCGTTCTATATATTTATGTGACAAAGGTACTTCAATTTAAATTTTTTCCCCCTAATGTTCACATGTGTGCTTTTAGAAGAAAGCCTATGTAAATTAAAATCATGAGATTAATTTAGATGCTGAGAAACTTGAGACTAGAGAGCACTAAACAACTAATGGTAAAATTACTACATTTACTACAATTGAAATTATTGAATTAATTCATTAATGACGGACAATTTGCCAATTCATTTGCATTTCACTTCTATAACATGATAAACAACACCGTAATTATTTGATAAACCCATTGTTTATTTTATTTTATTGATTAAAATGCAATCATTATGTCATCATTTGACATTACTATTTGGATTTTGTATTTTTGTGTGACAATTTCTTACTACAAATCATACTTCGTCTCATCTTAAGCGTCACAAAATATTTGAATATAACTATTAAAAAATAAAAAGTAGAGAGAGAATATGAGGAAGGAATCTACCTTGGGAGTAAACATGAATTAGAGCTTTTTAAAAAAATTACCATTAATTATAAATGTTGTAAATTAATTTGAAACATCTTACACAAATATATACGACGAATAATTTAGAATGAAGGAAATAAAAAAAAACCAAGCATTATTGGTATAAAGTTGATTCATTCTCTCAATTCTCAGTATTATAACTGACGACATTATCATATAACTTTAATTATCCTTTTTTATGCTGGATTATTTGTCAAACTAGGAAGGCTACTAGATTAATTAAGTAGTTTGGATTATATAAATTGCTCTTTAGTCAAACTAGAAGACTGTAGGCAAAGTAATTTGGATAACACTTGTGTTGGTATAGAGATTCACACAGCTAAAATCGAGACAAGATTAATTTTAAGTCTTCAATAATGCCGGTTTTAAAATTTAAAACGTCAATATTTTTAAGGTTATTTCAAAGGTTGGTAAATTTAGTTATCATTCTTCATTTGATGGTAGCGTAAATTTTGGCCAATTGACATTATCTATAGCTATTATTGTTTGTCAGAGTAGTCGATGAGGACATGCAAAGTGACCAATAATATAAGACCCCTAATTAACCAGATCATATATTTACGAAAGCCTCCAAAGATCGAGTACTCCATTTATAATGTGTGAAAATTAGTCATATATGCATTATCCTAATCTTCTATATATATACGCATTACGTACTCATAATGTCGTAAAATAAATCATATTAAATTGATAATTTAAATTTTTATAATTAGCACAGGACTCCTAATATGTTTGTTATGGCCTTGACTATTAGCATACTCAAATGTAATCTAAACATTTTTAAAAGTATAGTGTTTAATAGGCACTACACATACATATGACTAATTTTGGAGAAAAAAAACTATTTTTAAGTAAAGTACGTCGTCATTCTCAGGTAAAATGTGTAAACTAGGAATAATTGACAAAGAAATGATCATCTCATGTTTACCGAAAAATGCTTAGCTTCTAGATTAATTTTAGATAATTGTATCTTTCAACTAGATGAAAACCCGTGCGATACACAATTTTTCATACATATATCTCAAGAAAAGATATTTTCCTATATACTCTAAGTTTTTTTTTTTTTAATAATTATTTGATTTATTTTACAATTTAATAATTTCAGATAAAAAAAAATAAACAAAAATAAATAATAATTTAATTAAAATGATATTGCCAATTACAAAAGTATAATTTTTTTAATGTAATTTATAAT